TTTCTCTGGAATTATGGGGGGTGCCTGATCTCATAAATACTCTGCCCCAGGCTGCATGCTCTTACGTCTGTAAGGCTGTTCCAGAGCAAGTACTTAGATAGCTAACCCCGGTGCTGGAAGTTTTAATGGGGACAGCTCAGCCTCCTCTGTAGATGTCAGTGTGGTTATATTGCTTGCATGAAGTGGGAAGATGTGGTCAGGCTGGATATTGCAGGAGAGCCGTTCAAGAAATACAGTATGAAAATGGATTGAATATGGGTTCGTATTGCTTTGCTGTCAATGGCCATGCAGAGAAACATTGGAGCATATCCCCCCCCCCCCGCCTGCTCTCTGCGCCCAGCCTGTGTGGATATAAAAGAGTAGTTGGTGAAGTCCAGGAGCGGCTTACATAAACAGTAAGGACCGGGATCAGTTCAGTGTGAGGAAGCGAAAGGCAGAAAGGAAACAGCAAACAGGGCACTTGATCTTTCCAGACGTGACCCAGCGTGGTCCGTGGGAAAATTAATGCCATACGGGGATCCCCTCTTCCTGGCTGTGTCTGCGCTGCGCCGGTGCCTCTTGACCAGGCTTTCCCTATTCCCTCACATGTACTTGTGCTTCCCTCCTGTGCCCTCAGTGCACCCGCTGGGCCCTCCCCTTCCGCTGCCCCCGGGCTGCCTCGCGGCCGCTGGCAGCTCCTCACCCGCCGCAGCCGCGCTCCCCGGGCCCGCTGCCCGCCCCCCGCCAGCCGCGCCGCTGGGGGGCAGTGTTGCCCCGGCAAAGCTGCGGCAGCGCAGAGGCCGCGCTCCCCGGGGCTGTGCAGAGGGTGGGGGGTCAGGAGCCCCAGAAGGGTTGGGGGGTCCCGGGCCGCCGTGGCTCCGGTACCGGCTGTGCGGGCAGGAGGGAGAGAGACTCAGCCCGGGGCGTTGGGACACGCCACAACCGTGATTGCACAGAGGAACCCGTGCCTCAAGTCTCCCGGCCTGAAACGCAGTGCATCGCCTGCCTCCCTCTTCTTGTCCACAGCACCCAGGCTCGTCACCGACCAGCGGCAGAGACCCCTTCCTTGCTGTTGCTTTTAGTAATGGCACTCAGGAGGCCGTGCAGGCTAGGACCAGGCCCACCACAGCGGATGCTGACGCTTCTCTTTGCCCCGGGGCCTGCCTGGCCTGGGTTGGATGCCCAGAGCTCTGCCAAGGGTATGGATCCAGTACCCCCTAACCCTCCATGAGGTTCATGTGCACTGGATGGGCACAGGCCCTCTGGAAGCGGTTGGCTGCCACAGGGTGCCTGGGGGTGGGCCTGGGCCAGGGCAGGCTGTGCTGGGCCCAGGGGAGCTAATCCAGGCACTGCTGCTCCTGTCTGTGTGGCCCCAGCTAGTGCTGTGGGAATGAACTGACAATCAGACACAACTGCACAGCTGGACCAAGCCTTGTCTTGCCCATGTCGCTCAACAACTGCTTTTTTCCAGCCCTGGAAGTTAAGCAAGAACCTTGCCTCAAAGTTGAATCCCAGGGGCTCTATTGACCTATGGCAGCTGGAATTTGGAACCAGAGAACGGCAGAGCAGTGGCATCCTTGAATAACATTCAGAGTAAGATCTGTTCATCTGCTTTGTTTTCAAGTGTGTCTGTCAATCAGTACTATGGAGCTTGCAGCAGAATCTCACTGAAGCTCATACTTGTCGTCTTTAATCTCCTGGTCAAGCCCATGCTTTTTTACTTGGCTGCTTTGAAGCATATCTCATAATGTGCTTCCAGATGCAGAATGACCCTGAAGGCAGATCCCAGAAAGCAGCCTGCAGACCTCAGAGCACTAACCAAGCATGTCCCCCTGGGAACTGAGCAGGCAGCCACAGAGCCAGGCTGACCTTCATGCTCAGTGCCCTGCTATCTGGGACACTGGTGCCTTGGACCTGCCCTCACCTGAACAACCTGGGCTGAGGCTCAGCTGATCTGCTTTTCATGTGTGGTGTGCAGCCACTAATATCTGATCTAGACAGACAGAAAGAGCTGCTGTTAGGGCACAGTTCATCTGATCTGTTCCAGACGGATGTCTGCTCTGCAATAAGTCACCCCAAAGTGCCTCTTTCTCCTCCGTGACTACACGAGGAACTTGCAGTGACTTGCTCAGACAAGGTGTGTGTGGATGGAGCCCAGCGGGCACTGAGCCTGTGATCAGCATTTCAGCTGGAGCCTTGCAAAGGGCCTGCTGTAGTCGGGGATCTCAGCCTATCAACCAGGGGATGTGCTATATGCAGTTGTGGCTACTTGCTGTCAAAGTGTTATTTCCATTATGGTGTTGCAATCTGGATGCCATATGACAACCTAGCAGCTAGATTTTTTGCTCAGGAGAAGGAGTATTATTCCCCTTGTCTGGCCCCCATTCTCTGAGGGAGCCCAAGCTCTATCTCCTGCTCTTAGTGAGCAGTCACAATGCTGCAGCATCCTGAGCAGACATTCTCCATCTCTGCAGCTGAAACCATTCTCCTGTGTAGGTCTCCTGGAGACTGTGAACAAATACAGCATTTACAATCCCTGGTATAAATGAAGTTGCATGGCCAGAAGCTGAGCCTTCTGATGCTTATTGCAAATGCTATATATAATACCAACATGAAAGCAGAGCATTTGTGCGTTAGAAGTACGTTCACTTTGGAAAAAAAGCACAAAAACCCTGGTAACATGATCACACATAATCATAATGGGGGAACAAGACACAGTCAGTAAAGTGAACTGTGGTCTGTCATAATCACTCTTGAAACTTCAGAGCAATGTTAATCTAAAGATCTCAAAGCACTTCAGAGATGTGTAATAGGTGGACACAGCAATCAAAAGCTGTGGCAGAACTCACACTGGTTTTTGTAGGCTTTGGATAAAACTAATGCATAACGTGTAACAGGCAGCGGGAGGTCAGGACCTGTTGGCCCCAGCCTCTCTGCTTGAACCACCAGCTGCCTTTCTGCCTCTTCTAGCTCAGCTTATTGGTGTCATCCCTTTAAAACAAATGGCACCAAAGTTCATACCTTGTAACTATATGCAGAGACTAACAGGGCTGTTGAATCTAGAGAGGCTGGTTCCCATCATGTACTCTGACCCTCTACAGCACACAGCAGCCGTTCTCGACTTCTGAAGTCTTCTAATGATGGAAAGGCCTCACAGTCTTAGCTAATTGTTCCACTAATTAAATGCTTTTATTGTCTAAAGCCTGCCCTTAATCCTTGCTGTCAGTCTATCTAGTGGCAGTGCTCAACACTGATTCTGTGTTCTCAAAGACACTTCTCAAGGAAAAAAGCACAAAAGCTGGTTTAGCAATTAGATGAGGTTTCTAGCATTCAAAGATGTACTGCATAGCCTATTATCATGTGTATTTTATGAAACAATATACGTTTCTTTTACATATATTCAAAATACCTTTTCATATATTGTTCCATATAATACACAATAGGTGTACATCTAAGACAATCAGTTCTGTCTTCTCTGCTTTTGCTCTACCAAAGACAAGCTAAAGAAATGAATGGCTGTGCTTCAGCTCAGTGAGACCTGAGTTCATTCACAGGGAGGAAGGTCAATAGCAGTAGGGGCAGCTGAGAGGAAAAGCTAGCTGCTTGTGCATAAAGCCTTGTTATTGCTTGATTTTGTAGCTCCTGAGCAAGGAATGTAGTTTCATGCATGGCCAAAATAAGGTTTCACAGTGAAGATAAGGATGAAGAATTAGTTGGAGCTGGAGATCAGCACTGCACATACTGAAGCAATAGTGTGTGTGAGGAAGGATGTAACTGTGAGTTACGGTCAGCACACTTGTTTCCCCATGCAGCAAGTTGCATGCAACTCACAAGATGCTTTATCTTGGCTGAACCTGCCCTGTGAAAGGCCGAGCACACCAGCTACACTCACCTCAAATGCATGGAGGCATCCCGGGCAGTGGTAGCTCTTAGATCCATGGAGCTGCCAGTTGCTCAGAGGTTAGAGTATGTGAACATCACTACAAGGGTAGTTGCTTTTAACCCAGCTGTTGGCCAGCTGTGGGAGACTATGGCACCATCAGTGTTGGCTGTGACAATGCTCTTGCACTCATGGATGTTAAGAGCATGTTGTGATGCTGTGTTATGTACTGTTGGGTTGGGTTTTTTTTTCCTGAGAAGGAAGGAAAAAAGTTTGTGCAGTTCAGCAGCAGGAACAGTAATAAAGAAAGATAAGGTTTTATCCATCTCTTTCCAGGTTTCCTGGCTGAAACTACAGCTTGTCTCTGCCTCTCTGTGAAAAAAGGTAATAATCACAAAAGTACTTACTATGAGAGGCATCAAGGAAGCAGAGTGGCTGCCCCAGAGAAATGCTCAGGAAAATAAATACAAAACCCTTTGTGCCTTCCTATAATGAAAAAACGCAGTTAACTTCTTCAGGTAGCAAAGATTTAACACTTGTATGTGCCAGGCACAGCTTGGTGTCAAAGTGGCAGAAAGATCAGTGTTACAGCAGTACTGCCAGTTTCTTCTCCATGTCACCTGCATAGAATTGAACGTATCATGTTTACAGCAAATGAATGCAAACAATGGTGGTTTGGAGCTCTGAATGTGGGGCTAGCCCTGTTGGTGCTGGAGGGTCAAACAGCACTATAACAACCACCACAGACACAGTAAACCGATAACATGCTTACAGAGTATCAATCACTCCTTTCTATCTCTATCATTGTGGTGTTCATGACAGCTGGGTTTCTGATTGCACAATGAATTGGCATTTGACTGAAGGGGTTTGGTGTTTGTAAGAGAAGTTGTTCCTGAGCCAAACCGCTCCTTTGGAGCGCAGCAGAGTTGCAGCACTGTGACGGGCGGTTTTGTGAAGGGTAGGATCCTTGGTGAAATCACCCTGGGCCTCTGCTGTACCACAAAACTCAATGTATGTGACAGATTGGATAAAACATTCACTGACTGTCCCTGCTCAACTTCAACTGAGTATTTTCTCTTGCCACCTTGCCGCCAAAAACCTTTTAGTAATCAGGAAAGAAAGGAAGCCAAGACATGGAGTATTCAGTCATTATTTATAATTCATTTTCTTCAGATTAAGATAATTTTCTGAATTCTTGTAGAGTTTGCTTGTTTTATATCAGGTTCTTAGGCAGCACTTATATTATACATGCCCACACTTGGAAAAGATTATTTCACCCCATGTGTTTACTGTCATTATTCTTTTGAGTGTGTTCCACTTGATTCTGTTAAACATTAAATACGCCAGTGGAAATACCAAAGGTGAAGATATTGAATGCTGCTAGTGTTACAAAAGATAAATAAGCTGAAAGCGTTGACATAACAGCCTGAGATACCATAACAAGCTTTGAGTTTTCTCCACTCTAAAACTGCTTTCAAGCCATGATCTTTACTACAGCAAGATGGGAGGGCAAGGAAGGGCTGAAATAAAATACTGAATGAGAAGAAATGGTTTTAGCTTTTACCAGAAAGCTTTTCAACTCTGTTTCACCCTTTCTGCTGCTCAGCAGGGACAGAAGACCCCCATTCACTGCTGGAGAAAGAATGTCTGCGTGTCAGCTGGCCTCCCCAAAGGCAGTCAGAGGATGTGGCCATGTCTGTCTGGGGATGCGGAGCTCTTTCAGGAGGAACCTGCCAGTGGCTGTAGCCGAGGGACAGTGAATGCTTCTGTCCGTGACTCTGCTTTTTCTTTCTCTTCTCCCTCTTTCCCGTCCTCCCCTTGACCCTCACTCTTACCTGCACCTGCCAAGGACAAGTCTGGCTTCATCCTGCCTTTGGGTCCAGTTTATGCAGCAATGGGCACCTTATGTTTTGCAGCCGAGATACAGAGAGAGAAAATCACATCTGGTTCTTTGGCTGTTCAGAGCAGAGGTCATTTGGGAGGCACCCTGGAGTCTCATGCACTCTGATTTAAGGCTGGCTTACTGGCAACACAGCACTCATTTTGGGAGAGGAGGTCAGTACCTCCCTCGGGGGGCTGGTGAGGATAAGCCCCTGTCCTCAGACTCCTCTTTCTGCTTTTGTAATTTCAGCCCATCCTTGCCTTGTGTTTCTCATTGCCCTCGTGTGAGCTTGGAAGCTGATTTTGTCTCTGCAGCCAGCTCTTTCCCCTTCTCTGAAGGCTGCTTTTTGCTTGGTGCCTCCGCTCTTTCTATCCCTTGTCCACTGTCATCCATGGCACTGGATGTTACCTGCAGGGCCAGCTCTGGCTGAAGGGGCTCATTGCTCTTCTTCCACCTTCGGGCCCCTGACTGTGTATTGAATTCATACATTCTGCCAGTAACTTGAAAGGGAGAAAAGACAAGTGATTAAAATCATTCCTGCTTCAGCAGATTAAGACATGACAGTTCTCCTCAGGATGGCGTTGAAATGAGAAACATGAAGCACCTGGAATGTCAGCTGAGTTGGGGAGGTAGCCCCAAGAGGGAAAGCCTCATTCCTGCAAGCTGGAGTGGGGACCTCTGGGTGTTGTGGTGGCTGCTCAGGGAAAATCTGTGATCCCCAGTGAGTTTTGGGTGTATCTATTGCTTCTCCATTTGCACAAAATACTTTCTTCCAGGCTTAATGTGCACATTGTCGTTAACAGAGTGAATACTATCTATTTCCTGTTTGTGCAAGTGCGTGCTTCATATAAACACAATATTGTTAAATTTGGATTGTTTAGCTACATTTTCTTGTTTGGAAGATTTTTAGCCCTCTTCACATTTTAAGGATGATTTGTACCTGTACATTAAAAACATCTTATCCTTCAGTTCATTTAGTACCTAGAGATAGGTGGAAAAATTGCTGTGTGTCCAGTGCTATTGCCTCACACTCTAAATCAGCGTCTCTTGCTGAACAGAGAATCAGGAGCTGTAGTGGCACTTCTTTGTAATTAAACATTATTAATATGAGACAAACAAAAGACCATTAAGGCCTGAAAAGAAACAGTGGTTTCATTTTACTACATGCTAACAGTTTGTGTGTATCAGAATTAATGATTTCTGACACATTAATGCAATCTGAGCAATTAAGGATGAAACTGGATCTCTATACATGTTATTTTTCTGTCTGCTTACAAGGCGGGCAGGTTAAAGCAGCTCAGATCAGGAAGCAGTTCCTGACCATCCCTCCTAATCATATTCCACAGATGATATCCTGGGAACTATTAAATCTCATTTCCAAACCACTGACACTTGATCCTGTAGGGTTTGGGATGAGCCAGGAATGGAGAGTGCGCATCACACATTTCTCTGCTGACACCACAAAGCTGTGTAATAGCTCAATGCTCATGTCAGGCACGACACAAACACCAGGCTCTAGAGGGCAGTTCAGATGGGCTCAGGTATCCTTAAGTCTGGTGCTGAGGCCAGGTTTGTTGAGGAAGGGAGCCACCAGCTCTCCTGAACAAACACCAGGATGCAGCTCTTGCAACAGCCCAGAGAACATCCATGTTTAACATATTACAAATGCAGTTACACAAAGAAAAAGCAGGGACTTTGGAGCCTATCCCTCCAGGTCTCTTTATAAACAGCAGGTGGGCTTGGACATAGACCAAACTGGCCTTGAGCAGCTTTGTGGATGAGTTTAATTGCACTGTAGGGTCCCGTTTGTTTGCCCAAATTCTACTGAAGTCCCCATGCCTGGTGTTTCCCATTAGCTCACAGCATCTAACAGCTCCAAGCTAGCTAATAAGAAACACAAGGTACAGGCACTTGTGTGGAAATACAGCCAGATGAATCCAAGCCTAGAATCCAAGCCTGCCGCCTTCTGAATAATTTTTAGACCTATTGTTTCAGACCTATTCTTGGATCTATTTGTTAAAGATCTATTTTGACTGACTGTCTCAGTTTTTACCAACCCCCCTTTCTCCATGCCAGGGATCCAGCATCCTAATGCCAGGCCAAGCACCAGGGTACAGGGCTCAGGCACAGAGACTGTGGATCAGGGGGATGAGGTAAGGCAGATCAACTCCTAGGAAAAAAAAACACTTTTCTGTAATGAACCTGCTGCAGAGCACAGTGGCCATCACTTGGGAAAGGGATAAGCATCAAAGCTCCTGGCTCATCCTGGTTTTCCCAACTTTCACCTTAATTTCACTTTTGCCAGCTGGTTAACAAGATATACCCAGAGTTAGCCGAGTATATCTCAGCTAACAGCTGGAGCCTGGTGACAGTAACTGATGCCACCACAACTGTACCTAAAAGCAAGCATCTTCCCTTTCCTCCCCCAGAAGTGATGTTTTCCTCCTCAACAAAGAGCAGGAATGCACTGTTGCTGCAAGAGAGGAGGTTTGAGCAGGAGCAAGTAACTCTCCCACCTGCCCTCATCCAGGGAGAGGTTTGAGAGGCAAAGTCAGTACATCTGCAGCTACATTAATCTGCTGGCCAAGTTACAGACATGGGAAGGGTGAAACCCTGTAGCCATGACAGCACCCAAGTAGGAGGCTTGCAGCAAATTCTTCCTCCCCTCTCACCTTCCTATAGCAGACCCATACATTCAGGTATAGCAGAGGAGCAGTGAATAATCTGGCCATCAAATGTGTGCTTTCAAGGGCTGTAAGAATTTCTACCATTAGAAATGTTAGTAGGGCAATGTCTTGATTTTCACTATCTGTGAAATATAGCTCCTGTTCTCCTTGGAAACAGCAAACCTGAAATATGAAAAGCAAATGTCGAACCATATTTAAATCAACTAACCTGGTTTCCAGCCAAATAATCATATCCACTGTTAATTGCTTTTTATTACCTGGGTCTCTGGCTTCACCATCGAAGACAGTGTTTAGCTTTGTCATTGTCTGTGAAGAGAGACAAATGTGAAATGAATCCTGTGAATTAGTTAAGTAAGAAGGAGGGGCAGTGACTTGGAAATGGTGAACTAAATGGATTGAGATGGGGTTGTATGACCTGCATATTGCACTCCTGTAGGCAAAACTGGCAACAAAAGCCATTTGTGGTGTAGTGTGTTGCCCACTAGATGTTCAAAGGAGAATTAGTAAGGTCTGACATGCTAAATACCTCCATGTGTGTAACCACAAGAAGGTCATCTCCACCCAGAGGGGGATTGGGAATCCCCTCTTTGAAGAGCTCGGGGAGGGAGAGTACACTAATGAAAGTGCTTTGCAGCCTTTATGGTGTTATGGCTATGAAAAAGGAAGGAGACCCAAGATCAAGGACCAATGAAACATCTGTTAAGTGGAATTAACAATGGCATTTTGCTGCAAACAGCTTATGAAGACCAAACTCTTTACAGTTTGGGGATGTTTATGTACCTTATTGGTTGCACCCAGGCAGGTCAGGGTTAGCTGTACAGGTCAGTGGTAACACAGCAGTGCAACATTGCCATCAGGGCACTTGTCCTCCTGCCTCTGTGGCTGCAATCAGTCTCCTTGTCACTGCTCTGGATGCAGCCTGTCTGGCCTCTCACATACAGGGCTGCCACGGCAGCTGGAGAATTCAGCACTTGGGAGCAAAGGGGGTACAGCACAGATAAGCACCCTCACACCCAGTGTTGCCTCCAAATAGAGGCCAGGTGGGGTACTGAAGTGTTTTGCATTTGTAGACAATCCTGTTTTCCTTGCCTATCATTTTTACGTTCTCACTGGAAAACAGGCACCTTTCATAGAAAGTCCTCAGTCAGATTTCATGATGGGGCTGGACAAAACTAGGTTTTGTTTTGAAACTGGCGGTACTTACCACAACCACATCTTTCTTGGGTTTCTTCTTTTCTACAGAAAGGAAAATACACATTGTAAAGAATACCATTTCTCTTAAAAGTGATTAGAGACATTAAAGCCAAGATTTCCTCTTGGTACATGGTACCAAGAATGGAAATTCTTGGTATTCAACTTCTGAGACATCTCAAGTGACTCTTATTTCTCTTTTAAGGCTGATCCCTCCTACTATTTGAAAAGTAAACTCCTTCATAGTATTTTGGAGTGAGAAACCGCAGTTGCCACTGACTAATCAAAAGTATAGCCTAAAAAAGTCTTATTCCTTCAGTAATGAATAAATAACAATGGTTTCTTTAACAAATTTCCCTTTCTAAATAATACAGAGAAACTCACCTTTGGGGTATTTGAACTACAAATGTGGATTATTTTTTTCCAATGAATGTTTGTAGTTGTAAAGTTTGTGCACTCAAACATGCACTTGGAGACAAAACAGGGAAATGCCGCAGATGCAGTCAAGTAAAATTCAGATTGAAGAACAGTTTGGTTATATGTGAATTTACCACACTATTAACTGATCCCACATGCAAACAAATACAGCAGCAGTGCCATGGGCATCTCAACAGCATGGATTTGTGGATGATACCCAACTAGCTGCTATTATTTCTTCTTGCTTGCTCCCTGCCAATGTGTTTACGGCCTTTCTTCAGACAACTGTATGCCTGGCCATCAACAGGCTTTACAACCGGGCAATACTCAGAAGAGCTACAGATGGGTCTCAACCTGAGCACCGATGGGAAACCTTTCTGTCTGGCCTTTGCTGCCCAGCATTTGGGAACCAGTTTTCCAGAAAGCACCAAGCATCCATTTTTTTTGGAAACCAGCCGGTGCTGAAATGCCTCAAATTGGGCAACCAAGAGAACAGCTAATTCTGTTGGGTTTTGTTAGTCGTGTGTTTTTGTCAAGCTGGGGATACTGACTGAGAAGGGGAGTTGTAAAAGCAGGGTCTTACTGAGCCCATATGAACCATGCTTCTAGCAGAAAGCTAATGGGACTAAAAGGAACAAGACTGCTTTTAAAAAAAAACCCTGTTTTTTTAATGTGCAGCTTATGCTCCTGCTAAGTTACACAAACCCCTTTAAAGTACCAATATTTGAAAATAAACCTTCAGGTACATGAATTAATGACATCAAGGAAGCAAATGAAGGGATCAGAGAACAGGGAATTAGAGTGGAGAGGACTCCTGAAGGTCTGTAGAGGGATGGGATTATTTTTTGACATCATATGAATTGCACATGAAAAGAACAGCAATTCTTTCGCGTCCATGCCAGAATACCTGGCAACTCTGAATTTGGATTTTACCTAATAGTTAATAGATTTAAAGACCATGAAATCACTTAGGAAGACCTCCTGTAATCGGCCAGTGTTATTTAATCTCTGTATTCTTGTATTGGGTTAAATTGATGTATCTAGAAATGGATTTACAAATTCTCCATTGAATCGTAAACAAGGATTCGTTGTGAAGTATGAAAATACAGAAAACAGGTGCATACCTGGAGCATTTATCCTGTAATGAGAAAAAGATTAAGAGTGTAATTAGAAAATGTCATACTTTTGCCTACATAAAAATACCATGCTTTGTTCTCTTTCATTTGGTAAAAATAATGTGCTCTCTTGAGTTCTGGGATTTGCTTGATTGGTTTGGTTTCTGGTTTTGCTTTCACTGAAGGCCTGAATCATTTAATGCTGCTCTTAAACAGGAAAACAGCCCTGAGCATTGCTCCAACACCTCCCCAAGAAGTGATGGTATTAAAATAAAGTCTTACTGATGAAAACATGATGGATTTATATAATCTGGAAATACATATTTTCAAACATTGTCATTTTGTTCCATCCTTGGAGGAAGGTCAATTTTTTGGATCTGATGTGCTTGGATAATACCTTTTAAAATATTTGAAAGGTTATAAATGTTTTTGAAAATACAGAAATTGCTTTTTAATGGGAGAGCCTGGTTCCTGATGAATCACCTGCCCTGTTAACAAATAATAATAGCCAGCTATTCGCTGCTAGATTCATTTCTCATTTTTATCACAAATTGCTAGCTTTCTTTCACACACCAAATTATAATCACAATTATATATTACCTGTTTACTGTAATTTACAAATCTAGTTCCAAATCCTAAGAATACTTACAGAAATCTTTCTTTTTTAATTCTAATCCATTTAAAGACCTGCTTATCTTTGTTCTGTGAAGTAAAAAGTCAATTCAGAGGCAATCTGGCTCCAGCCCACTGAGGAGGCCGCCAGTGGGGATCTCTGCTGCTTCCCACACTGAATCAGAGCTGGTTCCAGGTGCTTCCATGGCTTTTGCCAAGCACAAGCACTTAGAGATACAGTGAAACTTAATGGGCCAGAGCCTTGCAACAGGCTTGGGTAAAACTCCAGGAAATCTGTAGAGGTTTTGCCAGAACAAAGAATTTGGCATGAGCACCAAGGTTTGGAAAAGACTCTGGGATCTAAATGTATCCAGTAACTACCTAGATGGGAGCTCCCTCGGAGTGGGAGCCAAATACAAACCAAAAACTTATGTATTTTTGGTCAGCACTGTCAGACGCAGATTCTGACTGAGCCTCACAAGCGCAGCTGCCTTTGAGCTTACAATTGTGAATTCCACTATTACCTTCAGCTAATGCTAACGTTAGCACATCCATGAAGAAAATGCCATGGACATTTTTCCTTGATTTCATATCATTAACACCAAATATCACTGTCTGGAAATAGCATTCATTATAATGAAGGGCACACCGCTATGAACTATTCCTCATGGCTGAAGGGCCTGAGTTCTCTCTGTCATTGCTGGTGCTTCCCCAGCATGGCACTGGGAGGACTCACAGAGGTTTTCCATGTGCTCTGCCTGCTGGAGGGCAGTGGGTACGGACCCAGGTCGCCAGGAGGAAGCCCAGGTAGCCCAGCAGTCCGAGGAGCAGCAAGCTGCCGAGGGTGATGACGAACGGCACGTACCACGCTGATCCGGAGTACAGGTTTTCCCTTTTTGTCACAAGAGTGAAGCCAGGCTTTTAAAACAAGATAGGGAAAGTTCCTCAAGGCTGCATACTTGTAAGGTAACTGACACCAACAACACCTTTCATCTGGTTGAACTTATGCACCGAAGCACCTGGCCCAATCTTGCCCCAGGGCTCTGCAGATGATGGGCAGAGAGATAGGGTCTGCTGGAGACAGTGATTCACCCCAGGTACCTGCCTGCTGACTGCCAAGGCAGCTCAGATGACTGAGGTGGACCACAGAGCTCCTGGGGCAGCCAAAGGCAGGTGAAATGGAGCCCACCCACGATGCAAAGAGGTTCCAGATCACATTTCCATGCCTTATATTAAAACAAGCATGCCATGGCGGGGTGTAAAAGCCTCAGGTTGCCTGAGAAGCTGTGAGTGCACTGTTGGAGGATGTGCAAGTTCAGGGAATACTGCCATTACCAAGATAATGGTTTCTTGTTACCTAAGGCAAAACTGGAAGTAGGTCATCTTCACTGCAGTGATCATTCAACACGCTCCGTAACAGGAGTTGAACCCTGAGGAACTGGGTTATTGTATAAAAAGAAATAAAACTCCCTTTTTTTTTTTATTTTTTACCCTGTGACTTGTTCCAGAAAGGAAAACCAGACTTCCTGAGCAGTTGCAATCTCCCACATCTTCCAAGTGCCAGAAGACACATCTCTGAGCTGCTGTATAACGGTGCTAGCAACTCATTCATTAAAGTCCCACCATGAAACTATCCTCACATGGATCAGAAATTACTCATTTGGTCTACTTGGGTCATTCTTAAGTGTGGTACTAATAGTTTTTATTGTCTGCTGAAGATTTTATTTGATTTTCTGTAAAATATTTGTAATCACATTGTGTACGAAATGCAGTAGGGTACCCATTCTTTTCCTGTTTAAATAACCTATTTAGCCTTAAAAAAAAAAGTACATCCAACCCTTAGAGAAACTCTCAGATAATCTTTAGATCACACCACCGCTCCATCCTCACCGGGACTGAAGTCATAAGTGACTTTTTGTGACAGGGCATCTTTTCTACACTACCAGCCTTCCAGCATCTGATTTATCAAGTTGCTGTGCTGAACATGTGTAAGGAGTAGTGTTGGGAGAAGTTGCTATAATGGAAGTGCTCTTCTGGAAAACACGCTGAAAGTGGAAGGCTGATATCTCTGGGGAGTCAGCTTTAATGCTGTGGTATGTGGTCTAGACTGTTTGTAGTTGTGGTAAAGCATGGGGAAGAAATACAGAATAAGTTTTGTTATTCAGCTTAACTTTTCATTTCCACATCAAGTAGGGGGAGGAGAAGGCTGTGGGAAAACCATATATTCCTTCCCAGCAGAGCATTAGATAATAACAGGGCTATTAATCAGTCTGCAAGTTTGGATTTAAGCATTTTCATAGCAAAGCGTCCAGACTTGCATGTGGTGTTTGCAGGATCCTCTGGTTCTGGCTAGTTACCAGTAGTCCCTAGCAGATCCAGACCACTTTACAGGGAATAGCTCTTTTACCCCTTCACCAGCATACTCATGTTTTCATTCCTGCATGCAAGAGAAAAAAGGGCAATACCATCTGCAGGCAGGCAGAAAATGAATGGACTGCAGACGAGCTGGTGTAGCAAGGGATGAAGGTGGGACTGGCACAAGGGTGGGGACAGAGGGTCTGTACCCTAAGGCTGTGCTGCCTCTGCAGGCAGGATGAAAGCCAGCTCTCCTCACATCCTGCACCAGCCTGATAGAAATTATCTCCAAAATTGAACTGGTGAGCCAGAGCTTGCCTGGGATGGCTGTGCAGAGGGATAGACTGTATTGATGGGACACAAGCCCGCAGCTCCACAGATCCCACTCTGCCTGCTGAAAGCTGTGCAGGCCTCCTCAGCTCAGCTATGGACCACCATGTGGGCAGGCAGCTCAGGAAAGACCCATCTCACCCCTCTGGATTGCTGCTTGAAACCTGCTGAAAGCTCAACAGCACAATGAGGCTGTGCACAACTGCTTCAGTTCCTGACAGGCAGCTCAAGGGTTTACATGATGGTGACCCCTAGGATGGGAAAAAGCCCTTTCAAGTGGTGAGGATGTCTTGTTGTTTTGTTATCTCTTTCAGTTTTGGTAGCCGCAGATTAACGTGTTCCACTGCTGAAGAAGCACATAGAAGTGCAGGGCAGCTGGGAGAGTGAGTAACTATGAATAAAAAAAGAGGTAGTGCGAAATGCATGAGGTAATTTTAAGGTTCCAGGCAAAGGTTAACCCCTGCTCTTTCCTTATTAATAAAGCTGCCAAAGTCTTTAACTTTCCAGTTGCCTGGTAATGGCAGTGTGCCCGGACCTTTGGCTACTTGCCCTTTTTGTTTTAGAAACTAAAATACAAACCATATGTTATGTCTCTGTACCTGGGACCAATCATTCATGACAGTAAGTACATCAACCACGTTTGGCTTCTACATCAGAGCACAGAGCTCAGCATTTCCCAGGACTGGACCCACTGTAGGCTTCTGCTCTCCTTTTGTATACATCTATCCTCTTTTGTTCACTTCTATGGAGATTAGTCCATAAAATAAATGCAGAACTAGACATAAATTTCAGTAAACTTACTGTCGTGGTAATGGGGGTAGTTGGGTTTGGGATAACTCTGAGGCTTAAAGTCACCGTTCCAGTTTTAACTAGGTGTGTCGTTTTGTCTCTGGCAGATAATAGATTGTCGTCTGTTATATAGACACGCAGTTTGTAAATCCAGTCTGTATCAAGTCCGCTTTCATAGTCAAACCTCGATGCAAGAATCAGCCACGATGTGTTGGAGCCGGCACTCGGTGAAAAGGTGAAATGATTGTTCACGTTGCCTGCAAAAAAACATCAGCGAAGCACAAAAACTTTACTTTAATCACACATTAAAGTAAATGTGTGGAACAAGCAAAAAAATTTGGTTTTGCTGGCAACTTCTTATGGATCACTATCCACCTGTGTGGTGAAATGTCATTGATGAGAACTGCTCCTAGATCTTCCTGATACCATAGAAAACAATTTGAAACAATACAATCATAAAAGCATTAAAATATAGAATAAGACCCTTTATGGGGGTACAGCTGAGAGGAGGCTGTGGAAACACTTCAGAGCCATAGAGCACACAAGAGGTCACCTGAGTGACCTGTCCTTGCAGCCAGGAAAGCACCCAGAAGCAGCAGCATGCAGCTGAGGCAAGGACCTTACATTGCTGCAGGGCTCATTCTGCTGGTCACCAGAGGCCCCTTCAACACCTCTCCATAGCCCCTCCCTCTAGCCAGAGGTGGAAGCCTTTGAAGAGGTCCCCAGAAGAGATCTAATGACCTGGGGACATTAATTGCCTCCAGGACTTTGTCTGTACTGTGGACCAGTGATGCAGGCTCCCCAGACTTCATTTTCTGTCAATACAGCAGCTGCATGTAGGCCAGCTGCTGTTAGGCTCCAGACAGAGCACACATACAAGAGATCAGAGCCATGAAAAAGCATGAAATGTGCTTTGGTTTTGCTCTTGTTGCCCCATGGAGCTCCAGAGTTGAAGTGACCTTGAAGGCCATGTCTATTGTACAGCACAAAACAGGTCATGGGCTGCTCTGCGGCTCAGAGGCCAACTGCATGGCACACCTCACGACTGTACAGCCAAAAGTGGACCTGTGGTCACACCTTTACTTACTAATACAAGCACAGCCTTTGTATGGATTTGTGTGTAGGTATCACTTCTGCACTTGTGGAGATAACACCTCTTTGGGTAAGCAGTAAAGTAATGATGAGCAGAATTTGTGGATCACAACCAGCTCACCATGAGAAGCAGGACATAAAACCGTGCTAGGTTTTTATTTACACACCAGAGTGAACCATCAGCATTCCCTAATTTTTTGTACTGCTCCCAGCTCACACACTGTGACACACTACCTTCATTAATGAAGTAACGAAAAGACCTGGGCTCAGAATCACGATCTTGGCATTCAATCCTGAAGCCATTAATATTGGTCCCAACAGCTAAGCTGACTGGGATTTGAAGTGAATAGAAATTGGGTGAACAAACTGGTTCTTCATCATTTACTTCCAAAACATTGACAGTTACCTGAAAGAAAAGAGCAATAGCAAGCTGAACCACATCCACTGTGCTGAGCCACAATTTTATTAACTTCAGTAACTGTTTGGCTTTGCCCATTTTGCTCTTTTTATCAACAGCAGTTGAAGAGCAGTGAACCTCTTTTCCAGTCTAGTTTCTACCAGAAGATGTCTCTGTTCAATCCTTGTGATCAACACCCTTCTGGAAAGAGGTTCTTCAACTCAAACCATCTTCCAAAACCATGGGGGTTTTGAGCTGATGTGTCTGACTATTTGAATCACCTGAATTGTGTCATAGTTAAAATTAGAAATAATAGTAGTGCCACATATTCATTAAACCTCCTAGCAAGACTCTAAAATTGCTTCACAGTCCTTTGCTAGGCTTCTTAGCATATTTAATAATAATTCCGAACACGATCCATGGAAGGAAGGAAGACTCCTTATAGACTGTTCCCAGTGACAGAGAAATGCTGGTAATGGCCTTCTGCATGGCTGGGATCACCCCGGGTAGTGCCAGAAGTGCTTAATGCCAGCTGGGATTAGCTGGCTGAAGGAAAACAGTTACCCTTCTCAAAGCTCTTTCCTCTAATGCCTGTTGGTCTTTAACAGGCAACAGGTAAACTTGTCATTGTTAAAAGCTCCGGATGCTGAATTTTCCTTAATCATCACCTCAAAATACTATAGGTGATAAAGAGATTAAGAACCTTCCACCTAGCATCTCTATGGGTGGTGCTTGGCTTGAATAGAAAGCAGGACTAGCAGCCATATCTCTCTCCCAACCCCCCCCCCCCCCCGAGAGATGTGCAAAAATCAGATGCAAGGCAGTCATGAGGAAGAAGATGTGAAAAGGAGTAAAAAGGAGTCTGTATGTGAAGGACACAGGGATTCTTTGAAAGAGCTACAAAATACCTTTGTGAACATACTGGCTATATATTTTCTTCTGAATAAAAGAGTTTGGGGCAGCTCTTTAACTAATATATGACTGCGCAGGGGTGAACTGGCTGTTTACAGACCACGGTGCTTTGCCCAATGTCTTACTGTTCTTGCTATGAAGAAGGGAGAAAAATGTAGATAAAAGGGAAGAAGTGGAGTGAATTTACTCACAGATGCAGTTGCAGTCTTCTCTTGGTCTGAGGCCTGTACTGTGAGAATGTGTTTCTGAGCTGTTTCATAGTCTAACCGAGCTAAAATCCTCAGATGTCCTTTGGTTGGGCTGATCCAGAAGATATTTGCATAATTCCTGGTGCCTCCTCCAGCTACAATGGAGTAAGTGATGACACTGGGTGGCCAGTCCTTGTCTCTGGCACTCACTCTTCCAATGGCGGACCCAACTGAGAGATAGAAAATGCATATTTCTGTAACATTTTAAGGAAAAGGAAGTACAGAGTATGTGTTCCAACTAAAACTTGATGAAACTGAACTTAAGATTTGTTTTAGAGTTTTTCACCCCCCAAAAAGTAAAGTTTTAGAGGTTTTCATCCCATTTCTCACACAATGGTGTGAGAAATACTAGCTCATCATGCTGTGCTATGGCTCCCACATGTATGGGCTTGCCTTCTACCCGTAAATACAAAAATGTAAGTAGTCTGCAGAGAACCACAACAGAAGTGCTCTGCTCATGAGGGCTACCCTGGGCCCTTACACCAACACCTTGTGGCAGCCCAAGCATTGGCTTGGTTGGAGGAACAGGGCTCCTTGTCTGCCTTTAAAAGCAATTGCTGCTGTTCCTTCTGAGGTGTTTGGAAAGCAGTTTGAATTATCTCCATGCTGAGCATTTATGAAGAAAACTACAAATGGCAGCGCTGTAAACTGTGAGAACGGGGATGGGTTTGTGCACACCCATCTCTGCAGTCATTGATTCAACACTAAGTGGATCCACATGGCCTGGGGATATACAGGATGAATAGTCTACATGCACAGAGGAAGACAGAAGGAGGATGTAAATCAACGGTTGGCATTACTTTTTTTTCCCCTGACCCTGTGATCTCCAGTCTCACTGCAAACTGTTGGCTCCTGGTTGGTACAGCAATAGCGAGCACCCTGTTAATGTCAACTCAACCCTAAACAAAAGGCAGTCTGAGTTGAAGAAAACATATTCTTTCTCTTGATAGTCTCAGCATCCAGCAGAGTTCTGTGGCTGACACAGACAGCTTTACAGACATATCCATGTCACAGATGGGTTTCAAGTGTTATCTTGCTAAGATACACGTCAGTGGTATGAGGAGACACACAGAGAATAGGAAATACTACAGAATTCACCATATCATGCCCACTGGGAAACAGTGTAGAAAGCCAAGCTCCATCCATGTACCACAGAAATAAAAGTTGGGCAAGAACAACAGACTGCTGAGCAATGCAAGACACTTGTTATTAACACCTGAAGGTCAGCATCCTCTGCTGAGTGGCCATCCTGTGCCTCCTTGTCCTCCCTTAGCCTTCCTCATTTCCCTGGCAGTTTGGCTGCTGCAGGATGTAGGGCTGCCATGGATCTTTGGCCAGGCAGATCCCCCTGGGAGCCAGCCCCTCCTGCCCCATCCTCCCTGGTCTCTCCAGCTGCCTCCCAGGCCTTGCCTCACCACACCAGCTGCAGCTTCGCTGTACTCAGCAGCAGCTGATGAGTGTTTCTCCACGGGGCTGGCAGGAGTGATTTTTGCAGACCTGTGGACCTTGGCAGGGTCATCCTGACCAGAGACAGAAGAAAACCGAGCTGAGGGTAAGGGCTGGAAATTTGGGGCTGCTTCTTTACCCATAGCAAGGGAGAGGAGGTTGTGGACATGATGGCAGGGCTGCTTGAAGCATGCCTTTTCCTCTCCACCACCTCCTGCCTCCTGGCTTAGCAAATGGACAGAGAAGCACTGTAGAGCCCATACGTCTGCTGGCCGTAGCCACAGCTGCCTTTACCTGTGATTTAAGCTCACCCTGGACATAATAATTTGATTAAATCAAGCAGATACTAGGTTATCTGACTGCTAAATCTCCTGGAGTTTCATGGGCAGCTTCGCCATATACCACGATGCGACTGGATGACCTCCTTGGTGATGTGGCCATGGGAGTGTGTTAGTGAGAGCAGCCTGGGGCAGTGTTGGACATGCTGGAGGACAGAGGTGTCATTCAGAAGGGCCCAGCAGGCTGGAGCTAGAGACCAACAGGACTCATGGAGCTCAGCACAGACAAATGCAGTCCTGCACCAGAACAAGCCTGTGCATCTGAGCAGGCTGAGGCTGACTGAGCAGGAGCAGCTCTGCAGGAATGGACCCCTGGCCTTGGGGGACAAGTTATACATGAGCCACCAGAGCACCCATGGGGAATAGAGACTGCGTACTGGGCTGTATTAACAAGTGTATTACCAGCACGTGGTGGGAAGTGACTAATCCACTCTGCTTAGCAACCATAAGGCTACCTGTGACCAGCCTCAGGGCCCAGGTACAAGAGAGAAGCTAAAAAAGGCTGGGGAGGGCTGAGTAAAGAACACAGGAGGAGAGGGTGGAGGGACTGGGCTTGTTCAGGCTGGAGAAGGGAAGGCAAAGGGGGATTTAATTGCTGTGATCCACTACCTAAAGGGCAATAACACAGAAGAAAAAGACACACTCTTTTCTGAAGGGGACAGTGAAAGCACAACAGAGAAAAGACACAAGCCACAACAGAAAATTCCAGCTGGATACAAGGTAAAATCATCTCGAATGAAGGTTGCTCAGCTGGAACAGGGCTCAGAGAGGCTGTGGAGTCTTCATCCTTGGAAATATTCAAAATGCAACTGGATGAGGCCCTGAGCAACCTGATCTAGCTTTGAAACTAGCCTCACTCTGAGCACAAGTTGGACTGGAGATACCCATACATGCCTTACCCCTTCAGTTTTTTCTGTGACCCTAGAAAGTTCAGAATGAGGATCAAGATTTACCCAGAATATATCTCATGTACCTCCCAATTTTTTCTCATTCAATACAATAAATACAATAAAGACAATAAGTGAGGTCCTGGGGCAGAAGGCCTATTTTTGGCAGATCAGGTCATATGAGGAAGAGGCTGAAGCTAGGGAAGATTCCATTCCTGTGCTGTGCACCAAGCAGCACAGCACAGAGCTGGCTGGTGACACAAAGATTACCAAAGCATCAAGGTGCTGTGGAACTTCTCTGCAAACACATAAGGTGCAGGAGTCCCCATGGGACAGGAAGGTGCTGAGATTGGAGCCAAGCATGTGAACAGATTCGGCAAATTCAATTTTAAAGCCACATTTGTAGCTGCTGGTCCTGGGCTGTTGCAGGACTGGGAAGGACTCTGGCTCTGGGCATGAGAAACTGCTCTGTCTGCACCTGGCTGAGTGCAGCCTCCCCAGGCAAGCACTCCCATCCCACCCCATGTCCAGGGCACCCACTGCACCCAAGGTGAGCTGGGCCTGAGGGGACAGTTGAGTGACTGTCCTGCACCACACCCAGGGCAAGAGAGTCCTCACTCATCTTTGACAGTCAGTAACTGGTTTTGCACTGTTGCAGTGCCTCCAAAAGGCTAATTTAGCAAGATCAGAAGCATGGTCTAAAACACAAGACATCCGAGTTCAATTCCTGGCTCTGTCACAGATTTCTTGTGCATTGCTGAATTTGTCTGTGTCTCAGCTTCCATCTGTACAACTGGAATTGTTGCCAGTTTTGTCTATTTAAGGGTAGTAGGTGGTTGTATGGTGAGACCCTGGTTGAACTGGAACTTTGAGCCGTTCTCCTCATTCAAATACATGAAAATCCATTTAAAGCAAAAAGGTACTTATCAACATGATGTCATTATTTCTATCATGTAGATCCTATTTACAGTACCTTTAGTAATTTCTGGAACATTAAATACATATGACAAATTACTGAAGACTGGAAAAAATTCATTCACCGGCTTTATCCTGATGTAAATGTGGATGATATCTGGAAATATAACAGAAGATTAAATCATCGTTAAGTATGGCTGTGAAATTTTCTCATGCATATATTCAAAATACATATGGTATTATTCCTCTCTCCATGCTGTTACAGTACAGGAAAATATCAAATGAAGTGTAAAAGGGATACTTGCTTGAGTAGTTAGGAGAGGCAATATCTTGCACCCTGACAGTCAGTGAATAAACTTCAACTCCTAGATTAGCTGGGTTTTCCAAATCAATACTTTCAGTCATCTAAATTAAAAAGAAACACAATGGTAGATATACTTCCTTACATAAAGTCACAACACACATGATGGCAGTTACTCTTTTCAGCATTTTGTAAGTGTGGTTCCCCCCCTTGGATATATAGAATTGCTCTGTAGGAGGAATACAGGCTATTAATCAATTACAGGATTGAATTTCAGGCTTTTTCTACATGTTCACACTCTGGTGTCTCTTGGAAATACAAAACTCTTTTGTCCTGCCAACAAAATTCCTTCTCCTTAAGTGCAGGAAGTTTTATCATTTGGATCATAGGGTTTTGGCCTTTTACCTAGTTAATACAAAGCTCATGTAATGAGCTGGCTATTTACTCTGCCCTTTGTTGGCTCAACAAGAATCTGCTGTTGCTAAATAGTAATAGTTACTCCTGGAGCTCATGCCTGCAGACATGTATTAAAGGTATCAGGTTCAGCCACAAGTGTTTATCCAGGTACCAAGCTGTTACTAAATGGTGCCCCACACAGATTTAAATCCTAATCTCTTGAACTCTCTGTCTTTTAGTAGAAGCCTCATAAACTCTGGGGCAGCAGGACTAAATCACAGCCATCCACCGTTGATCATCTACAGGGAAATTCCTGAAGGAACAGAACACTTCAGATAGCCTGTTATATTACATACACACAGTGATCAAAGGGCTGACAACAATTGTATCCTGTGCAGCAATTAAAATGCTTTTTACATTGTCAGATGTAGCAACTAAGGGCAGTACTCACTGACATGTATACTTCAGATCTAATATTAAAGTAAGCCATACAAAATCGTTTTACTGATCCAGTAGCACTCGTGTGTTTCAGACAGAATGTATATCTTTTCTTATGTTTCCCTTTTCCTGTAGTTGTCCACGGTTCTTTTTAAAGCAACAGAACAACCACCATTGCACATGGCCAGCAGCTGGGAGGGCGTCTGGCCAATGCAAATATGCCAGCACCTATTAGCATAAGATACCCATATTTTGACACACAAAATCACACAAGTGCAAATCCCACTACACTGTTGTGAAAATTCACCACTCAAAGTGGTTTTACAATTCTGACCAATGAAGCTGGGGAGTAGTCAGTGAATGTGGGATTTCTCAAGTATTTCAGTTCTTCATGCCGGATAGGAAGGATTTTCCACAGTTTGTCATGAATAAATGGGTATGAAACTGCATCACATTTCACTGTTTATCTATATCAAAGTTGGTGCTTCACACTCCCTAAAAAAGGATATTTTTTTCCAATCATATCTAGCACATTTATTTAAATCTGGAGAAAACAGTTCTCTGCTCACCAAATTTTGTAGAATCCATAGAAAGCATCCTAAAAAGCGTCCTATCAAAGGGTACATAGTTTACACCCAGTCAAAATAGTTGTTCTCCACATCATACTTACTGTGAAATGAATTATAGGGATTCTCTTTTTCTTGTACAGTGAATTCAAAGAACTTACAATATTTCATAAGCTGACTTCTGAAATGTGACAATCTAACATAAAACCACAAAACAACTGACCACAAGTCTCCCAGACACAGTGGAATCCAGAGCAAAGTTATTGCTTCCAAACCCAGATAATCCAGTGAAATCAAATCGATTGTTTGATGGATCAGCGTCAATATCTTTACAGTAATTTCTAAGTTCAAGAAGGAATGTCCCAGCAGCTGTATTTTCATTTGCCTCTTTCCTGTTAAAAACAAACATATTTCCCATCAAAGCAAATTATATTTCTCCTCTTGAACTCTTCATATATTACATATTACACATTACATATTACATTACAAAGAGTCAACTTGTATTTATTTCCTACATTAAATCCTATTGATGAAACAACCCAGAATCTGATCCATACGCTGTGGTGGACAACAGCCCTTTACAATGGGCAGAGCATAAGCATTCAGCCAGATCCAAACCATAAACTTGAAACTCAGCTAAACTTCAGATGCTGCCACGAAATCTTAATACTCACTATTAGTCCCATTAATAACTAGTACTTTAAAAAACACCTTTACAACATTCATTTCTTCAGTATGTTATAATGTTCTGATGAGAAGCTCATTGTTTTCTCCTTAACTAACAGCTGGACCATTCTGTTGTTTCACAAAACTAGCATTTCTGGCCCTGCTCTTGACAGCGATGGTCTCTGTGATGCATATGGAAGTGGGGGCAGAGGTTGTTGATTTAAGTTTTTTTAAATCAAGAGAATTAAATGCAAAAAAATGAAGAACCAACTGAAATACTGCTAAGCCCTGATTTTGTTACCTTGTGCAATCTCTATAAAACGAGTTGTTTGATTGATTGCATTTTTTCCCTTAAATTCTTTGCCTCCCTCAGATCAAAATTTAAGCTTACTAAATCACCAAGAGACTGTTGTATTGTTGTCATGGGTGTTGTAACTAAGCAGCACTCTGAAGAATTGGATTCTCCTCCTGCCAGTATGTAAAAGTATGTGATTTAAATCTAAGACATTTCTGTTAGATAGTGAGCAAGCAATTTAAACGGATACCCATTAACTGGAAATTCCTCCTTGCATAAGTACTTGGCCTGAGATCCTGGATTTTCATCTGCAGGACCATCAAACTACCGTAAGTGCACCTGAAGAACTGTACTACACAATGCAGTGTACTCTGAAAGATCAGAGCCCAGGCACATCAAACACTTCAGATGGACAAATTTTACTCCCATTATTCTATGACACACTTCATCTGCAAAACAGAGTTAATGTTATGTCCTCATCTGTGAATACAAACTACCTGATCATCACAAAGGTCTCAGGGCATTCACAGTGGTAGCGAAGTCCATGACTAAGTTACCTTGCACAGAGGACATCAAGACATTATCTGAGCTCTGAAGAACTAACAGATTACATTAGACAAAAATCATGCAGGTCACAGGGAGGGATTTAGAAGAGAAGATCATGAAGTTTAAAATAAAACCGCAGAACTGACTAGCAAGGTTCCCCTGGTGAATGTTTGTCCACAGTTTAGCATAGGGTAAAGAAAGAAGGAGCCTGGATGTGTATAGGTCAAAAAAGTAGTTCTAATATGTGCATCTGATATCCTAAGGATTTAGGTATCTGAAAGAGAGGTAAATAAATTACCTGAGTATACACAGATAATTTTAGTCCAAATTTTCAGTATAAACATGTCAGAAAATAGAATTTTGTGCCCTAAGACTCTTAGAGTGAGCTCTAACCTTTAAAGGCTAATGATGAATGCCCATTTGAGCTGTAGGTATGGGAACCCTAGCTGATGTCCCCTAGACTGCGCACTGGTCCAGGGCAACAAGGCATTGCTAAGGCAATGAAGAGCCTCCATACCTGAAGGTAGAAGGATTGCATTCTGGTGGGTTGTCATTGATATCATCAATAATGATTGTGATTTCCATTTCTCTGGCGTGACCACCGCTGGGACTGTCCTCCACCCGGACTATCAGTGAGATGTTAGGATGGAGCTGCAGTGGAAGGTCATCTCGGTCAATTCTCCCAGTCACCTGCAGCATTCCAGTCACTGGACAGAAAGCAGCCAGAAGTTAGTTGTTCACCATGGGAGGAAGTAACATCCACTCATGGTGTATGTGCAAAAGAACAGGATAGCTCAGCAGACAAGTAGAAGAATAAATTATCTTCTATTCTGTGCAGATCATGGCTGGTTTAATTGTGGGTTTTTTTTAATGGTACAAAATGGCTCTGAGAGTTCTGCATAAGGCTTTAACAGATAGATACCCATTGCTCAAAAACGAACCACAGGTAGTCTCAGCAGAAGGCTTGGGAAGCAGTTATAGATTCCCCTTACTCTCTCAAAGAGGTAGTACAAGTCAATGTTGAGTGCACTCACAGACCATCAAAGACAATGAGCTGCTAATGCCTGTACTGTCCTTGCTTTCTAGCTAGTAAGACTGCTTCTCTTTCTACTGTTATTGTTCAAGCATCCTTCAGCACCTCTAGATCTACTCACAGAGCTGCTTTTACCTGTAAATCTACTCAACAGAGCTGCTCTTAGCTGTGACAGTTTGCACCAAGTGCTCTGGTCAGCCATTCACTTAATTTTTTTTTCACTTGTGTTAGCCTCTGTTCAAAAAGTGAAGGTGTTTATGGCACAACACAATACTATTTCCAAAGCACAAAGGAGGTAAAGGAGCAGTGTAGATACCTTCTGCCTTTTGGAGTGTAATTGAAGGGGTAGGGTGGCAACAAATCATCAAAGGGCATAAGGAATACAAAGCATTTACGCACTGTGTTGTGTGTCACCTCTTACAGCTATGATAAGCAGCCCTAAAGCAACAGCAGACAAGGAGCAAAGCAGTCACTGAATGCCAGCCTTGGAGCAAAACCCTCAGGACACTGGTGCATGCACCCCAGGGAACACAAGGAGATAGGACGAGCATGAGAGAGAGTACTCTTTTGGATTGCCTTGCTAAGGAGGGTCAAGAATAAAGCAACTAAGCTGCAGTGCAGATTTGCTGTGCATGTCAATACTAGAGCAGCTTTCAAGCAGGAGAGAGGACATTATGGTTTACGTGCAGCTGTTTCAAGAGCCCCAGAAGGGTCACTCCAGTTCTCAGAGATTAAAAAGGCAGCAGCTAATCTTTCTTATACTGAAGGGATATCACCCTCTGTAAGTCAATATTTGTCAAGAAGTCACCTTTGGTCTACTTTCTTCAAGATATCGTAGTGAATCTTGGCCAGCAGACCAAAGAATTTAATCCTAGTGAAATACTGATCGCTTCTTATTTCTAGGGGCAGCCACAGAATAAAGTAGGTCAATTTAAAACTAAGGCAAAACCTTTTTCTCCAAAGTGGCCATGGTTTTTTGGGGTGTCAGAAGGCACATTTTTGTTTGTCTTACATGGATTTATGGAGAAATATCTGTCATAAGACTGGATGCTGTAGAAAAGTCTGCTGGGAGAGCCTTCATCATCAGGATCTTTGGCTGTTACATTGGCAACAACAGTGCCTGGGCTTTGTTCCTCTGGAATCCTGTAGATCCTTTGCTTTCTACAAGATAAAACAAAATTTATCAGAACACCCATATGTGTTTGAAAGTGCAGCTGATTACAGACCCAGCTGAGCAGTCAGTTGTAACAGCAGAGCCATAGCTGCACTAGGCTCAGATGGCTATTTGCATGTCAGGGTAAATATCCCAGTCACTGTTTCTGCCAGCTGGATGGGTAGCAATAGCTGAACTGGTATGTGGTCACAAAGCATGACATGGCCACACAAGTGTCCTTCCCCTGCAACCTATTCACAGTAAAAACAGTTTGACTGTGACAGCCTCGTGGAAGCTGAAGACAGAAGGGGCTGTTAAGTCATTCATTCCATCTTCCTACTGACCCACCAGCTGGTAAACCCACTTGCTTTAATTCCTTCACTATGCAAGAGAAAAACAAAAATGGAAGCAGTAATATAATAAATCATCTTTTGGAATAAATGCTGAAGGCTTTTTGAGGATAACAATATTACCAAAAAGCTGATTTGCCCCTGAAGTAGGTGGAGGCAGGGAGGAGCACTACTGAGGGTGCCCAACAGATGAACATGCTCCAAACTCCCAGAAACATCTGTCTGTCTGATTCATATTACATAGAGAAAATGATTCTTTACTGCTGCTGTTTGGTATGCCAGTGCTCCTAGATTTCCCATGAATTAAGTGAGTTTTATAGCCCAGATAAAGTCTGGCAGATAATTGTGCAGGATTGCTTATAATAGTTGCAGTTGCACGTTCACATGGGTACTCAGGTATGCAATTATGGTTCTTGAACAACATGCAAAAGCAGGTGTGGGCAAGCACACAAAAACTGTGCAAGGAATTCATGAAGGGTGATTTATACTGCTGAAACACACTGACACACACAAACATCTACTTCTAGAAATCAAAGGGGGTTGAAGGTGCTCAAGGGTTCAGAAAATCTTTAGGAGTATGTTTCAAGACAGAATCCTTTTTGCACGTTTTGAACTTCCTATGCCAACATTTAGCTAATTGACTAGTCTATAGTTCCCAGTATAGAAAAGCATGAGCCCTTGGTCATCCTCTGAAAACCAACATCACAGGGCACGTAGCAATTAGAGCAGGGAATTGCAGAGACGGGTCAGAAGATCTCTGGTCTCCAGATCTCCATTTGCAATTTTCAAAATGGTTAAGAAGACAAAGTATCTTCAGCTGTTTTGTCAGCTCATATGAAAAGAGGAAAGCATACAGGAGAGAGACCACATAGGGTTTTCCCAGCAAAAACACCTTAGTTACAGCCACAAGTTAATAAGGCGTTTGTGACAGCTGCAGTGCCAGTTTTTATTAAGTTTCTGTCTCACTCTTGGCATTGGATTTCTTCTTTGGTCTCCTGTTGCTTCCAGAGTCACTGCTACCAAAAATGCCACCACAAAATGCCTCTCTGGTCACTGGGGAATATGGGAAGGACAGCTCTAACTGGTTTTGGCTCTAAGTAGGGAACTCCCTATGCCCACAGTGACCATAGCTCTGACCTCTCTCTGGACATCAAACTCACCACAGCTCCACCTTCATAGCCCCACCAGTCCTCCTGCACCCTGCACGGGCCATTGTTCTGTCCCCACCAGATCTCTCAGGAAGAAGTGGGATGTTACGGAGCATATCCCTGTAGCACCAAGTACTAGTACAGCTGGGGAGGAGTTGGGGCCTCTTCCTACACAGCTACGTCTGGGCTGTGTCCTGTTGTCCATCTGTCTGCCACCTGCCAGTGGCTTTTTACAGGATGGTTCAAGCAGGCCTTTTAGATGCTGCAGCGTAAGTGCAAAGGAAGCATATGTTTATTTTCTTGTCTTCTCCGTTGTTTTCCTGACTCCACAAGTTTTCCATTGATTTTAACAGCCAGAATTTCAAAAGGCTGAATGCCAATGCAGTGTTGTGAACACCAGAAACAGATGTGCTTGCATATACTATGGGAACAATTAAAAATACCCTTTGAAACTCTGTTCTTGACAGCTTTGATCAGGAGAAAATAAAGAAAGTCTGCTAACTTGTCAAGTTTCCCCAGCTCCCATCCCAGCACTAATTATTACAGTGTCAGAAAGTATGCAGCCCCAGCATGCAGCTCAGATTTTAGCAGGGAAGAGGCCATACATGTGCATACTGAGGATAGATCATGATGTGTAATTTAATCTAAAGTTCTTTACAAACTGAGCTGCTCTTTTTGGTCTGTAATGTCAGTCTAAAAGGGAGAAGATTCAAACAAATACCAGGGCTTATTTGTGCCATATGAGATCTGAGTCTTAGACCTTAGCTGTTATGGATGCTCAAGTCACTGCAGCTCTCACTAATTTGAACAAGTAGATAAATATTTAAAAGAGCTCCTTTAGCATTCCAGACATAAGGATAAATATGCAGAAAAGGCAACATTTGGAGGAAATAATCAGTCTAGAACACAATGTGCAAACGTTGGCACTGGGAAGAAGATTCCTCCTGCTTGTAGCAGTAGAGTAACGTAGAGTGAGCTGTTAACCTTATTGATTATTCAGACATGAAGTTCAAGTATTAAATGAGTAGCAACAAAACAAAAAATCTGTGTCTGTTTCTAATATTTCATTCTTCTGTTTCTTCAGCTTCTCCACTTCTTTACCCAGTAAGGTCCAGATCCTTGGCCTCAACCCGGGAGCCCTGCATTGCTCTGGCTCCACAAAACACCCAGAAGATTGCTCTAAACAAGTAGCTGGAAACCTCTTGGCATGGCCCAGGTGCTACATTGTCTTCTCCTCTGCATAGATGGCAGGCAAGCAGCCATCATAAATATTCTCAGCAGGGACCGTAATGCATTGAATCCAATCAGTATCTCATGCAAGTGACAACAATAGAATCAGATCAAAAGTAGTTGCCAAGCTCCTGCTTCAGAAACAATTGTTCATTAAGCTTTCCACAACAAAACAGCCTACTGGTGGCACAGGTATATTCTTTCCCATTTTCCCCAGTTTTCCGCTATTTTCTTGATTCCAACTAAAACTCTGTTAGTCTTCAAAAGCTATTTCTGACTTGTGTGTTATGACACAATTTCTTGCTTGTGACACAGTAAGAAAGGACAGTGTTCCAAAGATCACTGGGATTGTTCATAAGTGAGTATGGGAAGAAGGTGAAGACAGATCAAAAGTAAGACATTTTTATGTCTAGACATTTCTGCATGAATAAACATCATTACGGTGAAATGCACATCTGCATGAGGGGTAAATTCTTCATGATTATATTCACACAGAGTAGAATTCATCGCCTTGTCCAAATTTGTCCAAAGGTCTTTGCATAGCTTTAACTTCTCTAGATGCTAACAAGTACAACAAAATTATTTGGCTGTTCGTAGCATGAAGGCAGAGACTGGAAAACTTGAAGCTATTAAGAATAAAAATGTAATAATAGAGGGAAATGAAGGCAAAGCTTTCCAGTAAAATAACAGGAATCACAACAACATTAAAATATGGTTTTCAGTAGTAATTTGTTGTTATATTTACCTGCCCTTTTGCTACGCCCTCCCATTGATGCCAAAGCAGTAGAGCTGGCAAAAAATCAAGATTTTGAGTACAACAGAACTTTTTCACTCACGTGGTAAAGTAAGGTCTTTCATCATTGATGTTAATAATCTTGATATTCACTGTTTTTGTTGAGTTGAGTCCATCTGGATCTGTCACTGTTATATTTAAAAAGTAACTGTTAAATAAGAAAACAAAGCAAGAATCATTCAGTGGCTATGTAGGAAAATGTTTCTCTGCCTACTGTAAGTTAATAGACCATGTCAATAAAATACATTCTTACTAATGTGGATCTTTCTCATAATCAAATTCTTTCCTGGAAAAAATGGCTCCATTCTTGAAGACTGAGAATGGCACTGATGCAGGGAGCAGTGAATACTGAAATGAAGAGAGCAAGCAATTAGTCTTTGTGTCTTTAAACATCCCTCCATTCATTCCTTGCCTTGTAGAACAGGCCAAGTTACAGTACAGCATTTGCCTCAAACTTTGCTTAATAGAACATGCTGATGTATAGATGCCAGCACGAGCCCTGATTGTCTGAGCTGAAGCAGCTCCAACTTGGTCGTACGTGCTTTGCTTGCCAGCCAGTGGGGAATCACAGACACTGAAGTACATTAAAGCCCACACTGTTCTCTACCTCTGTGAATGCCAGGTCTGCAATAAGAATTTAACATAGAGGCCAGCCAGCAGGGCCACAGCGCCCTAGGCGAAATCAGCCTTGTGATGCCAGTGAGAGTACATGCACAAAGGAGTGAACAGGTGAGTCTGGATTTGCAGGACTTAGGAGCTCTGGAGGGAGGCAATGAAGTCTGGGAGGTCCAGATGTTGGGAGAGAACAAGGAGGGGAGAGTGGGCTTTCATAGAGTACATGAGGGTGTGTGGCTGAGGGGTGTTGACAATAGCCTGGTGTTAACAAAGCTGCTCAGCAGCTGCTTTGTGCATTGCACCACACAAACAGGTGCCATGCCAGTGCACAGGGGTGGGAGGGAGCTGAGCACCCCAAAGCTATTCACAGTATGGAGAAAAGCAGTACCCTGCTCTCCATGGCCCCAGGGTAACTACCACATACCTGCTACGTGCTCCTCACTATTTTCCACATGCTAGGCCATCACCAATAAGCCCTCAAAGACATTTCCTTTGCTAGTGCAAGGTCTGAAGTATGCAACATCAGAGGGTCATGCACCATACAAGTAATCTGCAAAATCCACTGAGCAGATCTGTCTGGAGCATGCAACTGTTCTTGGGAAAAACCAGGAGGTACAAGAGTGAAACACCTTGCCTCCTGCAATGATAGATACAATGGAAATTGCTTTTTAAAAAGCAGCTGGCTGATCACAGCATTTTAAGGGTTTTGGGTTTTTTTTTGCCAGTTGACCTTTCTAAATTCCCTCTCTGGATTATTATTTCACCTGTTGCCCAGCACTTCTGTATTTGCAGCTTCTTACTATGCCTGAGATTCATCAGGGGTTAAAGGGTGCGTGGAACTCACTCCTATTGCTTTCAGAAGCAAAGCAGAGTTAAAAGGCCTCTGCTTCCCTCCTCACCAGCTCAGGCTTGCTGGTTTGACTGGACAAAACCCGAGGACGGACTTCAATCTAATTGCTCCCTTGAATAATGATACACACTGAAGTAGCATCTCCAGGTTCAGTTCTTGACAATGCTGTCTTTCATCAAGCCAAAGCCAGTAAAGAAAAGCTACAACACAATTCCTAGGTAAGTGTAGTTACTTTTCCCCTGTATGCAAACAAACATCACTTGCCAGATTTTTTGCTGATACCAAGAGTTTTTTCATATCAGCTATCACATTTTCTTAACTGAAGGTCACAGTTTGCTCTGGGACTGTAAAAAAGCTGAGATCCCTTTGCCTTAGAAGTGATTTCCTTATTGTCTTATTGAAAAGAATTTACACTGTGATACAGTTTAAAACTTCTGCTTGCTTTTAGGTCCTCTCATCTACAAGAAGTGTTTTGCAAGCTATTTTTCTAAAAGAGACACAATTTCTCCTGTATCCCTGATTAATTCTGTCAATATCTGCCTTCAACGTCCCTCAGTTTTGGAGGGCTGAGAATTCAAAATACAGCCCAAACATCGAGGCTGGGTTTTCTTAGTTTATTGTTGAAACTGCTTTATTTTTCTTGACTAAACCTTTTCCTGTTTCCCTAGTAAGGAAGGAAGTTGTTGAAAGATGCTGGCAATTAGGATTTCAGATACAATGGATTGTATCATTTCTGGGTTTGGGGTTTTTTTAAACTTAATACAACTTACTTTGAGTTTAGCATTTTCAGGATCCGCTGCTTTAACTTGGTAAATGCGTGATGGAGGTGTTCCTTCCAAGACATAGATTGTTACAGCTGCATGGATATAAGTGCACTCAGTATTAATTGAGTAAGAATAAAGGACACAGCAGCAAACATAATGATATGCTGAAGTTGTCCATATGTATTACTGCCTGCTGCATCTTCTCACTTCACAAGTGTAACTCCAAAATTGTCACAAACAGCACAAACACCCAAAAGAGAAAAACAAACTGACTGTACATCTAGAAACAGGCAACCACCACTGCAAGTTGCAGTGTGAAGGTACAAATTGTACCTTCAGGAGAGAGACTGATCTTCACATACTGCCCATCTTGAGCTGCTCACAGGGTATGGAGTAAAATGATGCATTTGGGCTGCACCTGTGTCTTTCTTTACTATATGCAGATGGGGAGAACATATCCCTGTGCCAGGTCCTCATTTTCTCCCTGTCCACCCTGTGCCTTACTGAGAGAGCTCAGAGCCTTTCCTCTTCATTTTTGCCTTTCCTTTACATCAGTGAAGTAAATGAATTATGGATGGTCTCCATCGACTTAAATTTTTGCCTTATTAAGGATGCTAATTCAGTGCAAGGTGTGCTTCTTTCCATGCCAGGAATTCTCACAGCTGGACTATCCCACACTGGGCCACTGGCAACAGGCTTATCTCTCCTTGAGTTGAGTGATTAATAGAACAACAGATCTTTAGATCACATCATTTGCTTTATGCCCTTTTGTGTCTGCTGGACCAGCTGTTTCTGGACTATTAATTTCCACTGTGACCCCTGCTGACTGCTGCTTCTCATCAGAGCAATGGGAATCCCAGGGCAGTGTAATGAGTTGTTCCCAGAGGACAACAATATGAATATAAAGTTTAATGAGAGGGAGATGCTTTTTCATACCCAGTGAATGTGCAATTAGTCTAATTGTAGCTGCTACTGTTAACTAAAGCCACACAGTTAGACAGATCAGACATCTGTGCTCACCAATTTATGGCAGCTCTAGCTGAGAGTTAAGCTGATGCACTTATTTGTAACAAGCTCCCACGTAGAGCGTGTTTCATGCTGTGCCGATCCCCTGAAGTGTCACATTTAATTATTATTAGATTTCAGCAGCACCCATGATATGCAAGATACCAGCTATATTGAGAAGATGACACAGCCTCCTCCCTAGGGGAAGATGGTTTTCTTTACAAACTAAGTATCGTATGGAAGCAGGAATGTCAGTGTGCTTAGGAGGCATTAGGTGAAGATGAATTTGAGCGAGCCTGGTCTGAACTCATTGAGCAGACAAGCCCTGCCCTCTGCAGTAGGGAGAAGTTAGTTCTGCAGCCACGCTGCACTGCTGAAGACCCCAAGGGCTGCAAGTTGCAGCCTACCCAACACTGCTGCTGTGTTGGTCCAGATGTGGCACCAGTAGCCAGCTCCAAGTACCTACCATGAACAGATCCCAGTTTGGTATTTTCACATTTTTAAGAAAATTGAATATTAAATTATTGAATGCTTTTCCATAGAGCACTGTTACAATATCAGGACTTCAAAGAGGCTCTCAGTACCTCATGAAATAATAAGAGCATATTTTTACTCACTACCTGAACTGTTCTCTCTTTCTGTGAACACATAATAAATACATCACTATAGTCTGTCACCCACAGTACAAGTTTTCCAGGTCCTCTCATTAGCAAATGAACGAGATAAGACTGCTCAGGGAGTGAGGCAGTTATTCCCCATCATTTCTATTGATGGTATAAGGTACTGCATGGCATGCAAAGCCTGTACTGATGACAGCTGTGGTCCAGACACTCCAGCCTAATCCCTAAGGCTACTGAACACTCCTCCCCATCGCACCTTGGTCTGAAAGTAAGCCTGGTTAACAACATCTGCCCCATGCAGGAGACAGGACTCTGCCTTTTGCCAGCTGAACCACCATAGATCATGGTCTCTGAGATCACATTCTTCAAATCAGTTTTCCACTTAATTTCTCTGTGCAGGTTCAAATGCAAGATACAGATGTACACAATTATACACTTATTTAAATTTATCTTTCTTCTCCAAATAAGTACAGTTTTCAACTAACTACTGAAACATGTACCCATACTCAATGGTTATATCCCACCAAACATCAAGTTCCCATTCATACCTCTAGTTAGGTAGTCTCATAAAAAAATAAATATGTATTTATTCATATTAATTTATATATTTTTTTAAATTCTTCAGGTACTTCAAAATGGCTAAATCATTTTTGGTCAAAGCTTTAAGAAAGCTAAAAGGGCATTTTCAGAGATGAAGCATACCAAATGTTCATGTAAAATAAGGCTCTGATAAAAAGTGTCTTCTTCCTGCCTTGTTTTCCTAAAGAAAAATGCTTAGACCACTTTAGCTACAGGCACTGTACGTAGCTATAGGGTTTTTAATCTAATATCATCTTTTCAAGTATTGTTCTTTTCAAATACCACCTTTATCTTACTTTGAATTGCCATATTTCCTTGAAATACAGGACTTTCATTTTTATCTGTTACTTGGACAGTCAGTATGTCAAGGTCGGTTCTCCCAGTTGTGTCTTCCACGAAAATCTGTAAATCAAATCTATTTGGCATGGTTTCATAATCCAGGACAGGGTTTCCAGTGGTAACAACCTGGAAAGAAACAAAAACAGTTATTAAGATATGGTGCAAGAGTTGTAAGTTACAGTCTGTGTGAGTGAATGCAAGTGAAACGACACTTTACATCACTAAGCAGTGAGCATTTTAGTCCATCTTCGACTTGCTGGCACGGTTCTTATCATGGCAGAATTGTGAGAAAAACAAAGTGGAAAGACCAAAATGTTGTGGCTTCAGGGAGTAACAAGGACCTCTTGTGTGAGGGACAGTCTGAAGAGGAGACAGCCCGGAAGGAGTTGTCTCCTGCCTCACACGCAACTCTTTGTCTTCAAGGTCAGGACTACATATTGCAGGTTCTTGTCTGCATGAAGTCTCCACGTTTTGACACCAAGCTCAAGGAGTAGTCAAGGTGCTTTAAGTTTCAAGACTGAAAACTGGGAGGAAGCCCTGCAGGACACAAAAGCAGCTTTGCTACTTCTGTGAGTCGGGAGCACAAGGGGGAAGAATTTTACTTGCAATAAGGAGTGTAGGGGCAGGAGACCTAGGCTAGCAGGTACCAACCCCTTCCTTGTATAAGCCTTGGCTGGGAGAAGACTTGCAGGAAATCACAGGAAGAAAAGAGCTGCATGAGCACACTGTATGAGAGAGGAACACACATGAGAGGGACATGCATGAATACACTGAATGAGAGAGGGACTAGAACTGTTTGGTGAAAATGTTGAACTAGTTAAAAAAATAACAAAGGCCTTAAGTTTTGCAAGATTGATAAGGCAAACATTTGGTTTGGGATTTGGGGTTTTGGTTTTGGTTTTGTTTTTTAAAGGCTTCCAGCTCTGCATATTGCCTCTTAACACAAATACGTACAAGCACGAGACTGACATTCTGTGAAAAACATTCAATGCATTCTTTTTGGGTTTAGGATGTGTCCAGAGCAACAGCAGGATGCTGAAAGTTACATGCCTCAATCTTCAGTGCTGAAGTAATAAAGAAGCAAGAACTTTGTTTTCTTGGACAAGAAAGGAAAAGGTGAATGTTAAGTTCTCTGTGTAGCTAAAAAACTGTGAAGCTTGAACACAGTAGTGGGGTGCTGTCAAACTGGAGAAGAGAAGAGTTGGGGCTCACAAGTGTGTGAGACAAGGAGCGTGTCAGTGTATTCAGCATACTGCAGAATGGAGGAGCATGGAGAGGATGCAGAAGAGCAGTGAAAAAAAAAATCCTTGATTTTAGATGAGATGCTTTGGCCAGAGGGCAAATACAAAAGTGGTATCAGCACAATTAGAACACAGAACCAAAAATAAAGCCAATTAACTAAGACAGTTGGAGGAGAGTGAATAGAAGAACAAAAGTTTTATGCCTTCTGGTTTGTGAAACAGCTGCTTTCTGGAACCTTGTGGATCTTTTTGTTACAATACTGCAGGAGAAAGCAACTGTGTCCTGGATGGTCTCCTCTCTCCTGTATTGTACAAACAGAATTTTCCCATAAAAGTGATGCTAGCTCAGAAAAAAACATTCTACAAAATCTTGTAACACCAGTAGGAAAGTTATATGAATGTTTACTGCAGAGTTAAATACAGTAAACAGATGTAATGAATTCAACATGAGAAACTGTCCAATTCTAAGCAGAAATTATATGCTCTGGGGATTACCCCTCCAGTGCACAGCCAAATATTTTCATTGGCATTGTAAGTACAGCCAGACTGCCTAAAAAGACATCTTCCACCCTCCTTTATAGAGACCTTGCAAGTGAAGATGTGAATCTAGATGGTCTTTTTCTGGGTTGCTTTTGAGAACAGCTTGCCATTGGGGTAGGCTGTGACCCTCTCCTCCTGTGTTCACCTCTCCTCCAGGTAGTAACAATACTTAATAATAAAGGCAGCACTGTACGCACTAAAAAAGCTGCAGACTTCATGAAAAGGGGTCTAGACTCACCGCGTAACTGTCCACCCCTTATTCCACCCAAGAATTTCATTGTTCCCCACTTCACTGCCAGGATGCAGAGAGAGCATCACTAACAGCATCAAAATAGTTTCAGGCAGCAAAACGTTTTCATTCAGTCAACACATTTTCTGCCCTTGGGATTCTTCAAATAGAAGTAAGGTGAGGAACGATGACTGGGGCTCATATCTCAGAAACAGAGTTTCTCAGCAATCTCAAAACTTATCAAGAAATGTGATACTGCTTTGGCTTGCTGCAACAGGAGTAAGTGTAGCTTCATAAATACAGAGCAGCCTGTGCTAACAGGTACTTAGCTAATCCGCAAACTCCATAATTCATACATGAAAAACTGCCTTTTTTTGTATCTTAGCAAAGATTTAATCATTTTGGATCACATCTCTTTTGCAAAATATTGTACAGCTCTGCTACAACATAGCATAAATAGTTAGAAGTAGCAATGTTTATCAAATGAATGAACTAAGAATACTCACTGCTAACTTGCAGAATTTGTGTGTAGCTTCCTTTATGTCTTCCTCATGACTGATACAAACTGGACCAACCTCTTTGTTCTTTGTTTTGAGTAAGTTAGGAAACCCTGTAAATATCTACAGTTCAACAAAACATACAAAGCCTCACAGGCCATGCTAGTAATGGGGTAGTAGTATGAAATGAGTATCAGCTGGCACTTTTGGAAGAAGCAGTCTCCAGTCTATAGCTTTCTTGGCCATTCATTTTCATTCTTGTGTCACACTCTGCACTGTGCTAGAATCTCTCATCATCCTGCCATGATAAAAATCAAGATGAGACTTTTTATCTATTTGCAGGGTTATTTTTAATCCAGATTAATTTCTCAGTCCCACTCAACAAGCAGCAACATAAAGTGCTTGTGATGCAGAGATGGCGTGGGACAGGAGCAAGCAGGTATAAAAAAAGGTCTATGTTTTGCACCAGAAGGGATACGTTTAATTCAAAATGCCAAAATATAGCTGTCCTGAGTTCAGCAGTAGCAGTCATTTTTTCTCCTTCTTAGTAGCTGGTGCAGTGCTGTGTTTTGACTTTCTGCCTGGGAATGGTGCTGATAACACTGATGTTTTTAGTTACTGCTCAAATGCTTGGTCTGGCCAAGGACTCTGTGAGCCTCATGCTCTGCCAGGGAGGAGGAGAAGCCAGGAGGAAGCAGAGACAGGACACCTGACCCAAACTGACCAAAGAGGTATTCCATACCACAGCACGTCATGCCCAGGATGTAACTGAGAGTTACCTGGACGGGCTAGGACTGCGGGGTTGGACGAGGTATCGGGTGATGCTTGGTTGGGCTGGGGGAACGAGTTATCGGTTGGTGGGTGGTGAGGTGTTGTATTCTCTTCCCTTGTTATTTCCTTTATCATTACTATTACTGGTGGTAGCAGTAGTGATTTGTGTTATACCTTAGTTACTAAACTGTTCTTATCTCAACCCGTGGGAGTTGCATTCTTTTGATTCTCCTTCCCATCCTTCCTGGAGCAGGGGGAGGGCAAAAGGGGGGGGGGAGGGGGTGGGGGGAGTGAGAGAGCCACTGCATGATTGATGGCTGACTTTGTTTAAACCATGACAACAGCCTAGAAAGGGAGTCCCACATTATGAATTCTCTGGCAGCACAGACAGATTAAGGGATGTATCCATATCCTGCCTGTTACATCCCCTCAACTGATTCAGTTCAGGTGCTTGCGCAGCCACATCCCATGCTTCACAGGTGAAAGAGGGCTTTTGGGAGAGGTTTTTTTTAGCATTTCACCAGTCTGGCTGGGGAGCAGCTAAAGAGCCAGCAGAGGTTTGTGCTTGCTGGGAGACAGCAGTATGGGAACAACAGCAGCTCCCCACAGACAGGGTGAATCAATGAGCCTCAACCACCTGGGCTCACGGGCTTACTTTCCCTATTTTCATTCCCAGAAACATCAGCAAAAGGAAAGAAAAAAAAATCCCTGGTATCAATTCTGTGAAACCTGAACTTCCTGGGAAGCACCCAGACAAATGTATTCAAATTGACTTAAGACTACTCAGTGTCTATGCATGTCTTTAAAGACAGTCTTCGGTGCCACTGTTCAGACTCAGACATACAAGCAAGTTACAATGGGATGACAAGTTATTGTGCATCTGAACACTCACTGCCAGTGACAAATGTGAGCTAACACTTACTAATTTATCCAGCAGTGAAAAAAGAGTGTTAAGTAATAGAAATTGCTTTGCCTTTGCCATAGGACAAGAGCACACCATAGACAGAAATAAATCACAGATGTGTGGAAGTGTGATAACTTCTTACCTTGAGATAACTACCTTGTGTGTCACAGCTTTTGTCCAGAATTAAATATGACTTTGATCTGACTCAGCTTACTTTGTTTTGGAAGTGAGTCAAATTCATTTTAATTCTAGGTGAGAGCAGCCAACCAGAAGATGCACGTGGTTTAACTAAGCCACTTTAACTTCACAATGACTTCATATAAATTAAGATGAAAAGCTATGTACAAATCCCCAAAACATGGGGTTGTATATATCCTTCTTCACCTCTTATTTCCAAAAATATCACTTTTTTTTTTCTATCACAGAATAAATGGGACTACTGTGATAGATGTTTTTACTGGATGCAATTAAAAGTTACAATCACTACTGCTGTTAAATTGTCGTATCTATTACAACATGTCCAAATACTACCACAGTCTGCATTTGCAACTCTTTCCTGATTAAACAATGAGACACTGTGCACTGTCAGTGCTCAGTAATTCAGGAAACATCAGCCTACATGACTGAACATATCTCAAGCTAAACGTAAAACTCACCCTGTATTCGAGATTTCCTTTTGGTTCGATAACAAAAGCCCCTGCGAGTGGATTTGAATTTAATATGGTAGGAACTGCTGCAACATCTTTAGAAGACAATGGAGAAACAGTTACATTGAAGGTATAAACTGTAACACCAGCTGCTGCATTTTCTTCAACAGTGCTTATTGCAGGCAAGCCCTGAAGCAACCGGATTCTTCTTCCTGCAAGATGAAAACGAATGTAAAATTACTTCTGGGAACCTTGGCCTAGCAGGAGCCACAGCTTGTGCCAAGAGCTGCCATTACTGAGCACAAAATAGCTTGATTCTCTGAATGGTGGCATTGCACAGTAGTAAATACAGTGCTAATGGCAAAAGAATCAATCTTTTCTCTAATTCAGTACTGTACTCTTGTCATCTAGAGCGGCTGTTGTTAAAGTAGTATTCTTACTGCATTGTTTGACTTCAGATATGCCTCTATGTAAAAGCAAAGAAACGGAACATGTTTCTGATGTTTCTGTTGTTTCGTTTCACCCCCTGTGCTAATTGCTGCCTCTGTGCACTGATCACTTCAAAAAGCACCTTGAATCACACAGATCCTGATGTTAAAAAAGCAATCTTTTGTGAATTACACAGACTGCTCTGAGCAAGGAAGAGCAGCCTCCAGCCCCTGGACGAGATGCAAGCCCAGAAAAGCACTTTATGGTTCAAAACTGCCTGGAAGCAGCGGAGGCTGCTGTGGCATCCAACAGCTGAGCTCCTGCTTCTCAATCAGACCTTTTGACTCCCCAGACCAAAATCTTTGCTTGCTCTGTCACTGAGCTTCTGGGTTTTGTTATTTTAACAAAGGCTTGTGGTGCTTTGAGTGTCTATAAAATATAGATCAGGACAACTTTTAGGGCATATCCTGAAACAGTATCTTAGTAACCTCATACATCTAAACTAACAATGTACCCCAACATGAGACTTGTGGCAGGGCTGACTGCTGCTTGGCGGGGCTTCGCTGGTTTGTCCAAAGCACTTGCTAAGAAAGGTGGTTGTGTTCAGTCGAACTTCCCAAACACTGTGTGCTAAGAGGGAGGCAGACACTGCTCACCCAACAGCCTGGCCAGGCTGTTCATACACTAGCAGTTACGGTAGCAAAGTATCCTTTTGCTGGGCAGCCACAAGGCAAAAAGCTGCTATGGAAACTAAGCTAAGGCCATTAAGGCTGCTGCACGTTTCCACCTGGATGCTCAAGCTCAGCCTGGAGCTTGGGAGCATAATGCCAAGGGGAAATCCGCTGCTTTGCAACGCTTTTGCAGTGTGGGACAGAACCATCTCCCTTCCCTTCCTCTCATGCGGCTGGGGAAGAGTGACCCTCATCAGCTACTAAAACGGCCATTCCTCAAATGGAAGCAGGATTTTTAATTTGGAATGGGACAGTTCAGGTCCAGTGCTTTCCAATGACATTAGAAGAAGTCTTAGTGACTTTTGCCCCAAGCTAGCAAAAAATCTTTTTTCCGTACATCCCTAGGGAAATTTGGGAGCATTTTAGGGATACCCCACGTATGGCCTTTGTGTGATAGACATTGCTCCTGTTACTGGCCTCTTAAATAACTTTTCCCCATAGGATCACGGAAGACTTAGGATCCCTGTGCCTTTACTACATGAGAATCAAAACTAATCTCAGTAAATGAGTCCACAAGACAAAACATGAAGTCACAAGGTCTCCCTTCTTCCTGCATCCCACCCCAGGAGGCACTTGCAGGGTTTCCTGGAGCACTTCTTAGAGCAGCATGAATCCATCAGACACTTCCAGTTCTCCTGCATTGTGGGGAGGAGAAGGAGGGAACACGGGCTGTGGGAACATACTAGGGTGTGGTGGGAGAGTTTGCATGTGGGAAGACCACTTCCTCACACAGGGCCTCACTGGTAAAAGGCAGAGCTGAGGTTCTTCCCTGGAGCTGCATGGAGGTTCCCATGCTCCCACACTCTAGATACAGCAGGTCCATGGATCACTCATCTGCATGGAATTACCCTGGCCAAAAGGCCTTGGAGATTCTCTGCAGGTGAGTAAGGTACAGGTGAGACGTGGGAGAGGGTGAGGTGGGAGCTGCCTGTAAGAGTTAATCTGAACAGGTCACACTGATTCTCTGGTAGGGCTGAGTTCAGCTGAGCCGTTACTGGTCTATGACAGCGGGAGCAGGACCCAGTGAAGGACTGAGTTTTCATCATAAACAGAAAGTACCCATCCGAATGAGACCGGGCTGAGAGAGGCTTCTGGGGATACATTTCCATAAATGGAGCTGAACTTTGAGTATATATCCGTTGAACAGAACCTGATAAATCCTCCCTCAGCAAGCCACAGCTCATTAATGGAAACCATTCATAAAATAAATGAAATAATTTTTAATATTTAGAAACATGGAAAGAAAAGAGTTGCTATTTTATATTGTCTCTAAAGATTTCATTTGTTGTTTATTCAGGATTTGTCTTTCTAAATCACAAGTTCTTTCTTCCTACTCTGTATTTTTAACCGAAATTTTCAGTACTGCACCTAAATGGCTTCTTTTTTTTTTCACTTGATTATACAAAAGTCCCCCTTCCATACCACAGGTCTTTGCTTACCTTCTTACTCTGGAGAACAAAACATGCCTGAAGCAATTTAATACATTATTTATCAGAATTACCAGCCCCAAACATTGACAAAAGATGAGTCCAAGTGAAAACAAGCATGAGACTGGCTTTGGGAAGTACATGTATGTTTGTGATCTGTTAGCCTTTACATTGTGCTTAAGTCACACCTTTAAGTTTTTCTCTCTCCACAAACATGCAGGCTTGAAAAAGGAAAGCGGAGATTCACATGCAGTGTCCTGGTCATAGTTTTGGGGACATCAGGAAAACCACCAAATGCTGAGAAGTTCCTGAAGCTTGGCAGAAATCTTTCAGTTGCTTGAGAGCTGAACCTTGACTGACTGTACCTGAGCAGCTGGCTTACTACAAGCAAAACAAGTGTTCCATGAGCCACCCAGACCGCAGGTGAATGATCTGCTTTAAGTTGTTAATGTGCACATATTCATATTGGCAAATCTGCCATGTTTTTACACTGGGCAAAGACAGTGATATTACCCTACTAATATTTCCCACAAGTGTTTGCCTGTTTGGTCCCATTTGATTGCTTGGTTTATGCAATCAAAGAGAAATGTTATTAATATTTCTGAATACTGGAGTATCAATACTAGATATTGTTTCCTGAAGAGCTGACCTCCTTTCCTACTCCAACACTATCACACTGAGCAGCAACTATTGCACACCAAGTGCCTCATCCAGCAAAGTGTCTTAGCAAGGAGCCAAGGTCTCTTCTTTATTATACTGCTGTAACCACAGAGCTCAATCTAGTTCAGTAGGAAGTAATTGTTACTTGATTTTTTCCGTCTGTGTCTGATCCCTAAATATGCATTATAAATCTCCCAAGAGAAAGAATAACAGCCAACAGTGTTCTAATTTTAGCAGCATAATGAAAACATGTTCTTACCAGATACTACTCCCAGCAAGATGAGGAGAAGGAGCATGATCTTCATTGTCTTTGTGACCCTCTTCTTCATGTTCCCAGGATGCAAACTGAAGGAGTATCATGGTATGTTTTCCCTAGTTTACATCAGCTCCACCTAAATTCTTGCTCTTTGTCATGCTGTGGAGCAAAAAACAAAACAAAGGACCCATGTCTCTAAGGAAGTTTCTAAACACCGTCAGCTTGTTTGCTTGTCAGAGAACTGCTCCTTGCTGACACTCCATCCACAGATCTGGGCAACGCTTTAGAAAACAATCATTAATAGTCCTTTCACTGCAGTAGTATTTTTTGAAGCATTATGAAAATAATCTAACGTGTTCTAAATCTGAAAATACCATGCTGCTTTCATCGCTCTGGCAAATGAGGTGCTGTTTTCACATGTCAGGATCAAATACTCATGCTTTGTTCCTGAAACCAAGGACCTGAAGTTTTCTCATTTCTCTGGGTACCAGAGAACTACTCAGACGACACACAGCATATCTGGAGGTGAGACTGCAGTGTATGTACATGATGAAATTAGTTTTGCTGTCTCTGGAACAGCATGGACCACTATGCAAAGTGCACTGGCACCCTTAGATCAGGCATTTAGCTAGCTAGACCACAATACACCCACACAACTTCTTTTGTTTTAAATCTAAGGGCAACCCTAGCATTTTTTCATGGAGCATAGTACAGAGGTGACACTAAAACTGGACCTGACTGCAGTATAAGTGCATCAGCATTGACTCATAGAATAACTTGGGTTGCAAGGGATCTCTGGAGGTCATCTAGTCCACCCTGCTCAAAGCAGGCTTCATTAGATCAGATGATTGGGGATTCATCTAGTTGATCCTCAAGCACTTCCACCAAACTGGAGAGCTCTGCTAAGAGGTAGAATTTAGAGATTCAGGTTTAAGACAGTTCTGGAGAAGCCATACTAATTTGTGAGCTAAGCTAGCATCCCTTTATGGTTCTGCATGACACTGTGGCTGTCCCAGTGAAAGCTGACATTAGTTCAGAAAGCTCTGCCCCCTGCTCCTGTGTTTTATGTAGTATGAGCATGTTCACTGAATATGCTGAACACTGGAACAGGCATTGCCTATGCTTGCTGCATGCTCACCTTAAACTGTTGTATGAATGTGCCCTGGAGGATTCTGCTGATACAATGAAACTGGAAAAGATGCATCCGTAAAGCCTACTGATTGGAACAGAGCCATACCTACACATCTGATACTGGCTTAGGGAACCGTAAGACACAGTCATTTGATGGTCAATCTGCATCTATTTTAAAGTGCTTCTAGAGCTTTGCCAGGTCCAGATGAAGCCTGGGTTCAAAGTGAATGTGTTCACACTCTATCATCTAGGAGCACACATTGCATAAACCTGTAGAACTGAAGAAGCTGGTCTTCCATTGCCCCAGGAAATGTGTGCCTAGACTTTCTGCTAGTAAAACAAAAATAAAAATGCATGGAAAACTTCACCCTCAAATGACACAGTTAAGCTGTTAAGATATTAATGTAAATGTATTTATATGTGCAAGAAGTCTAGCCTGTCCCTTTACCTACCAGATCATTGTCCACCCCTTCCTATGCATTTCCTTGTCTACAATGAAGATTTTGATCTGGCTGGACGTCTCACACAGATGAGGTCTTTGTGCACAGGCATGAACGAGGCTAGTACAATAAGCTTGTGATCTTTTACTAATAATCAGAACACTGTAAAACTGCTGCTAGCTTTATTCCCCCCTTTTAGTTGCAAAGTACGATCTAGATACTGCTGCTTCTTTTAATCTTGAAAGAGCTATAGATACAGCTGGGCTAGGTTTTAAAGTAGCCAGTCTTTCAGATACATGCATAAATTTGTTTAGTGTCTAGCTTGAGTGATAGAACTGCTTCCATGCTATGCTCAATAGCTAGGCCTTTTCCAGAACTCAGAGGTCACAGGTTTTGTCCTTTATTTTCTTTCTCTTACTTCTTAGGCTGAGGATTTTTCTGGGGGGTTGGTTTTGGTGGTACTGTGTTCGAGGGGAGGGGAAGGTGCTTCCTATAAATGCATTTTCCAACTTTTTGTTGTTCTTGTTCTTCCTTCATTTGAAAACCTACACAGATATATTTTCAGCAAGAGCTCAGTGTCCACATACATAAATCAAGCTTTCCTCTGTACATCTTGTAATAGAGGCACTATAAAGCAGTATAGGAGACATGGATGGCAAAAGCATATGGAATACACGTGTGCTTGAAATGCCAGCCTTTCCCCAACTTCACCTGGAAGTGCAACAGGTAATTGTTTTAGGTCCTAAGTGAATACCATAAAGTAGTTATTTTCTGTTTTCTCTCTAAATATGTTTTGAGGGCTTTCAGGTATGCCCTGTTAAACCTTGTGGTTCAAGCATGTTGTGAGAAGAGATTGTAGAGGTGTCCAGGGAAACATGGGGAGAGCCAAGGGTAGAACACAGTGAAGGAAGAGAGTGCAGAGGGCAGCTCAAAGGGATGCAGTGTGTATGAGGGGCTCTGTCTCCTTCTTCTTCCTTCAATCACTGCCAGTATGTCTCAGTACCTCCCTTAGATCCCTCTTTTCTTACATTTCTCTGCTGAGTGGATTTCTGTGATTCTCTGATTCATCCTGCCAGCTTGTAAGGAAGAAAGTGAAAAAGCAGCCACAGTTAAAAGAGAGCCCAAACAGACTGAAAATTAAATAGATACATGCATATCATCAAATATAGGGCTGGTTAGGAACAGATGAGGTAGGAAAAGGCAAGCAAGGCAGAAGTTCCCTGGTGAGGTGGCAACAGCAGATCTGCCGCTGCATGAAGGTCAGGAATGAGATTCCTGGGAATATAATGTAGCAAGATGAAGAGAGGTCAGGGCAGCACAAGCGAGAATACAACCAGGGAGTTTGCAGGCGAAACAGAGGGAAGAAAATTTGATTGAAGTAAATTATAAAGATCAAGGAACAAACTGGTGTTTCAATCATTCTTGGCTTTCAAGATGATTTGAAATCTGGGTACTTTAGAACAGTGCAGAAAAAAATGTGCTTCTGAATAAATGTCTTCTGGATTACCAGGTAAGATGGAGAATGTGAGGAAGACACTACATCTTTCAGGAAATTAAATTTCCAGGGGAAAGACCAATATAGAATCATAGAATCATAGAACTGTTACGGTTGGAAAGGACCTTAAGGTCATCTGGTTCCAACCCCCATGCCATGGGCAGGGACACCTCCCACTAAACCATGTCACCCAAGGCTCTCTCCAACCTGGCCTTGGACACTGCCAGGGATATATCGAGCTGCAAGAGACTGCACTGGTCTTAGGCTGAAAGCAGAGAAAAAGAACATGGGAAGAGAGAGGTATCAGGTGGGACAGAAGAGAACTTGATATGCAAGCTTCCAATTGCCTGTTCTCAGGAAAGTGAGGTATTTTGCCAGAGGCCAGCCTCAGAGAAGTAGTTTACTTGCATAACAAAATGTGTGGATTCAAGACATTCATCCCTTTTCTATGCATTTAATTCTCAATTGGCTTCCAGTCTGTCAACAGGAAAGAAATGTTCTCTCGCTTCTCAAACATATCAGAGGTTCAAGACATAATTTTCCCATTAATGGCAATTTCAGCCAGAGTAGTGCCTCTCTTCCGTTAGCCAACTCACAGGAAAGGAGACAGTATACTCTAACTATGGCACTGGAATGGGTTGCCCAAGGAAGTTGTGAATGCTCCATCCCTGGCAGTGTTCAAGGCCAGGTTGGACGAGGCCTTGGGTGATACGGTTTAGAGCGAGGTGTCCCTGTCCATGGCAGGGGGGTTGGAACTTGATGATCTTAAGGTCCTTTCCAACCTTAACTATTCTATGATTCTGTGATTACTCACCAAAAATTGAGCCGCATAAGGAGAATTTTCACACACCTGATACAACCTCAGTTCAAGACTATTTCTTACTGTTATTTCACTAATTATATTACCTAGACTGTCAGGTTTTATTTTAATCTCCTTTCTCTTTTAACACTACAGCTTCTCCATTCACTGCTCTGGTAATCTTTCCTAAAATATTAAAAGAGTACCTTAGCATCCTACACCAAAAACTTATGCACCATTTCATTACATTTCTCTGCAAAAAGCTTCCTCTGTACCATTTGTGAGGGACAAGAGCAAACTAAAAGTCATGAGTACTATCCAGGTTACCTTAATCTCACTCAAACAGATCCCAGTTTAGCAAGGTTAGTAACCCCCACAATTATACAAAAATAATCACAGACAGATATCTGGGCCATCTATTTTCTGTCATTAAATTGTGGACACATAAACTCACCAGTCACCTCCTAATAATTAACTTGAGGTGTCTGTTAATACCAAGTGATTCCATTACACCAAGAACTTTTGATGGGATTGAGGTTTAAGAAAAGAACAGTTTAAAATCTGGGTAAATTCTTACAGAAGCCCCAAAACAATGCTCTTGCCAGTGCTGAAAAAAAGGTTCTCCCATTGCTGAAGCAGTTATACACCCAAGGGATGAAACCATTTGCCAGCAAAGAAGGAATCCTGGGAGTCTGTCTTTTGCCACGAGGAATCTGAGCACTTATTTTAGAAGGACTGGGAGTATGTAATGCATTAAGATTGAGGAGATTGTTCTGATCCTTCCCATTCCCTCAACTCCATCTTGACAAATGTGGATTGAGGCGTTTAGATGATTACAGGGACATAAGTTCAAGACGGCTCCAGATGTACTTCAATCCTCCATACAAAGAGGTCAAGCAATTTCCCCAAGACCACACAGGAAGTCCAGAAGAGCCAGAGTTCTTGGTCCACTATCAGTCTCAATGCTGATGACTGTAAGACATCATGACTGTAAACAGCACATTGTTGCCAAACGTTTTTCTCTTTGAGAAGTTCTTGTGCTGTTTAAAAAATATTACATTTTCTTCTGCATCAACACAACATGGAGGTCAGTGAAACACAAGCTTCAATATTCATTCACCTGAGCAAAAGTAGATGTTATCAGCAACTACTTTGTGTTTTGTGGTACAAGACAAAAAATGTGTGGTGGTGTAGAACATTCAGTACCTGTGAGAAATTATGTCACTTGTCCACACCAGTCATGTATGTTGCTTGAATTTCAATTGTGTGATTTGTCTTCCAAAATGTTCTAGTGCAAGTAACAATTCAGTAAAAAA